GAGATGGAAGAGGCCGGAAATCGTAGGTGATTTATTTTTGTCGTCCCCAATTCGAAGACCATATTAAATTTATAAGCGTAGCTGCCTGTTTCTGGAAATATTATCTTATTGGGAAATCGGCCAAACTTCTGCCGGATTAAATCATACCGGAACTACTATCTCAAGGGAAGCCGCCTGTTTCATTTAGTTTTTATTAATGTTTTGGGATTTAAATTATATATTATTAGTTAATAAGGGGTACCGCCGTACCAGTTCTCGTCCCGACAAAAAGAAGAAACCTTCCATCTCCATACTTTTCTTTTATTTAATTTATTTATGTATTTGGTTTTAGGTTGTCCAGTTCAATTTATAATAGTATTACTTTTTCTTTGCTCTGTGTGGTAGTGAGTTTTTATTGGTCTGAGTATTGTTTTCTTTTTGGTTTTTAAGATGGTAAGGAGATATTATAAATAGTATATTAATTAATATATATAAAGGTGAAGTTTGGTTACTGTTGCCAAACTCTTTACATTTTCATACCTCAAATTTAATTAAATCACAACTTAGTCACTATAATGTACATTTACATTTAGATACCTCAAATTTACTTTTTAATATATATAAAGGTGAAGTTTGGTTACTGTTGCCAAACTATTTACATTTTCATACCTCAAATTTAATTAAATCATAACTTAGTCACTATAATGTACATTTACATTTAGATACCTCAAAATTATTTTTTGTGTAAAATCATTGAGCAATTATGTTTGGCATCTAAATTTTATGAGATTTACGTACCTACAATTTTTTAAATTGACATATCGGTCGAATGTTTAGATTTCACTTGAGTCCATGAATCCAATCCACCAATCCATGAATTCAATCCATCATAACATAAAAATATAAATTTAGTTTGTACCATGCAAGATGTTGTATCACTCAACTGTAGGAGAACATTCGACCATTTTGGTCATCCATGGGATTTATATTTCAAAAAAAATATTTATGTTATCCATTTGAATTAATAATTACCTTTTAAAAAAACATTCTATTCGGTGACGTGACAACATATTTAGTAAATTATAATACGAGTACATTAAGATATTGATATGTATGAAGTTTTTGTATGACATTTTAATAGAACAATGTTTAAAAAAATATGCAGTGATAAAAATAATGATTTAAAAATTATTATAAGTGTAAAAATGACCAAACCTTTTCATCATTTACTTCCTCTTCATTTCATTTTTCACCCACCTTCCATAACCCTTTCTTTATTTCTTTCTTTGCTTTATTCGTCTAACCCTAATTAGTATACTATTTTTATGTATTCTAATGACAAGTATAAATGGGTCCATACATGACTCACCAACGGTCTAGAGAATTTGGAATTTAACCATGCACGACTAACTTTTCTAGCTCAATGTCGAGTCCAATTAAAAATAAAAATATATGATTATTATTTATTAGAAAGTCGTCATTTTCTACTATGATATTTGAAGGCGTGAAATTTTAAGCGAGTTCCAGTTTGTATTCATTTCGCTTCTCTTTAGAGTTTTTCTTTCTCACCCGAGCTAGAATTTTCAACAATTATACATGGAATTTTAGGCTAGGTATCTACACATTTCAAATAAATAGTTTTCAATTTTCTATAAAAAAGAAAATATTTATCATCTTAAATACATCATCATAAAAGAAATTAAGCATCAACTATGCAAATTACAGTTCAATACCTAAACTTAATAGATCTTTAGATTTATAACATAAATTTATTTTGTGGCATATAAGTCCTCAAAATATTGATGGAACATTACATTGTAGTATCTAATTTTTTGTGTATTACATTTTGGTACCTAAAACTTTTGAAGTCCTACAAGTAAGTCTAATTTTTTAATGTAATTAAAACACCCTCGAATAAATGAGTATCCATACCCAACTCATACACATTTAGATTATGGAAGTAAATATTCATACCCTACTCAAACCCATCTACATACTTCCAAACCCATATATACGTCACCATTCACTTCCCATAATCAATGGGTCGACTTGGGTTTAGGTAAATAGTATTTATTAGCCAAAGATTTCAAAAAAAAAATTGAATTGAATGTTGACCTCAATATATCTCTTCTCAGTCAATATCATATATCTCCATACGATGGTACAACTACAATTTGAGGGTTTTGCCGGTCGGGGTTTTGATCTACGTTCGACTCCGATTATTGATGAGCGTGTGTCTATGTGCGTGGCTAGGTGGAAACATACAAGGAAGAATGCGAGGAGATGTCGTCGGAGTACTATGGGAAGCAGTACAGCAGAGAGCCCTAGCCAATATGTGCAATGCGGGAGTTACTCTCCACCAACTCATCGCAGCTTGCAACAAAGCTTGCCCTAACAAAAAATTAGGCAAGGGTTGGGTTAATGAAACCATATCTTGGGTTAATGATTTCGTCAACTCTAAACTCAATGATCAGGAAGTTAGTATTCAATGGGATATATACTGAAACTGAAAAATCAAGTGATTATGCAAAATGGCTCTATTAATTTGAAAGAAGTTGGCGGCCTCTTTTACCCAAAATTTCAAAATTCACCTAGGCAAACACGTCTTATTCCTTTTCCCGGTAATGGCAGCCCAACTACCCTCTAACTCCAATTTTTTGCGGCCGTAAATATGCTTTTGGCGGCAAAATCCGATTTACCCTTGCGATTTCCTTCCTTAAGATAGACCCAAGTCCTTTAAAATCTTTTCCCCTCCCAACGTTAGTTTCGCAGCTCTGTTCCCTTCTAGATCTAGTTTCTGGAGCTTTATTCCCCACCTACTCCTCTCTAGTATTCGCACGTCTGCGTTCCGTCGTGACAGCTCGGTAAGCTAATCTCTGCCTCAGCCTGGTTGGTTTCCGTTCATGATTACTAATCGTTTAGGGTTCATAATTTTTTTTCCAACCTGCATCCCCGCTTCTCGATTTTTATCTTCGCCACCTGTTTCGTGTTCTTAGGGTAAAGGATGTGTGAATCATCCGAAATCTGGCCTAGTCGCATTCTCACCTGCAAGCTTTTGTTCATTTTAACTACTTTATTACTCTCATGTTTGATTTCCAGATTATGTTGTTCTGTGATTTACAATCTACGTTTTAATTTCTAACAGTCTTAGTAAAACCCTTTTTGCAGGAATGATTCGTGCAAAGAAAAAAAGAGCGAAACTTAGATCACGTCCTGCCCTCATATCTACAGACACAGAAATCGAAACTATGTCACGTGTTCTAGAAACGGAAGTGCCTTCGTTGAACGTGGAAGGTAATGAAATTTTTTAGAATTGTGTGGCTGGATTTGGTTTGCTATTTCTCTACAAAAGGGTGGCTCGTTTGGGTTCATGTTCTTGAAGTTTAGGGGCTGCGGGTTTCCATCTGTCTCGTTTACTTCTCTTTGTACTTGTGTTTGTTGTTATGCCTTTCACTTACTAGTCTATTTGCCATTTGCACAATGAGTATGCGTGTGTGCTTTACAAAACGACCGGACAAAATTTTCTTATTCTTCTTTGATTAATGGGGAGGATCCATATTAATTTTCCAAGTTGTGTCTCAACTTCCATTTGATTCAATTGATGTCAGTAACCTATACTTAACTTTAAATTTTGTTTGATTATACTTTCAGGAGCTAAGAGAAGAAGGATGCTTGTTGGCGGAACATGGAGGGCTATGCAGAAATAATCGTTAGTACATTTTTTTGTTAGAGAGGCAATTAATAAATTATGGATGTGACTTGTTATCTATTTCTTTGTAGATTTATTTTTTATAGTTCGCTAGAGAATGTTTAGCCTTTTAAAAGATGAATGTTGGGATGACATTTTAGTAGTTTTGCTTAATTTTTCATGGAGAAGATTTTATGACATTTTGATATTTAGATTTAAATGTTGGTTTTCACATATGCTCCCTATTACATTGGTGAAGGGACATATGGTCGTCCCGACAACTTATAAATGTGGCATTCTCTCATCCCCAAAGACATCGTTTAAGTGATGCATGGTCGTCCCTAGAAGTTATGTGGACGACATTTCAGGGTCCGTTATGCTACCACTTAAAGGACAATAGGTTGTCCCAAAATATTATATGAGTGACAATGAGTCGTCCCCAATGATAAAGGTTAAAGACAATTGGTCGTCCCTATAAGTTATGTACGTGATAAATTAACCCCCCTGAAGACACTTTTTAAGGAATGATTGGTCGTCCCTACCAGTTGATAGGTGACAATTAGGCATCCCAAAAAAGACAGTTTAAGAGACAAATGATCGTCCCCACAAGTTATACATGGGACAATTATTCGTCCCCAAAGACACATGTTGAGGGACAACAGGTCGTTCATGCGAGTTACATAGGGGACAATTGGTCGTTCCCAAAAGGCACATAAGTGACAACTCCTCGTCCCCTAATATACAAGTTAAGGGACAATTATTCGTCCCTAAAAGTCAAAGGTGACAACTTGTCGTCTCTAAACATATAGTATAGGAGATCACTTGTAGTCCTTGAATATAGCTTTTGGGGACCAATTTTGGGCTCCAATTTGACACATATAGGAACGACATGTCGATCCTATAAAAAGAAAAGGGGAAAACAAATTATTCCCATATTGGCTCAACGCAATTATGAAATTGGGTATTAAGGACAACAGGTTGTCCCTAGAAATTATGTTTAGGGGACGACTTATTGTCGCTAAAGTTATAGCTATGGGGACGACATTTTGTCTTTCATGGACAAGAAACGACACGACGACTTGCAAGTATCAGGGACGACTGTCGTCCCTAGTAATGGGGACGACCTAGCTTTTTTCGTCCCCAAAAGAATAGAGGACAAGAGTATAGGGAACCACTCTTTAGGGACGACTTAGTTGTCCCCAAAAACTATAGGGACGATTTTTCCTATTTCCGGGGACGACTTTTGTCGTCCCCAAACCTCATCTTTTTTGTAGTGTAATTCATCAGGTAGGCCCTTCCAAAATTCATTATCATAGAGTGGAAGGTAGCATTTTGTCAAGATCTATGTTTATTAGTTTATAGACTTATGGTTAAGATTTTATGGGTTGCTCTACTTTAGGCATGAATTGCAGTTATTTATTAACTTATCTAAATTTTGTTCACTCATATTTTACTCAAAATATGTCGCCCTTAATAAATTTTAGCTATTTTGCAGTATGCATAAAAAACTTCCGCTTTGATTCTACGCTTTACAATTTTACCCATTTTTGCTTCTATATATGTAGTATCGCATTTTTGGCTGCATTGCACCCAACCCACCGGTCCTTACCTTCCCCTCCCTACCCTTGTATCATCCCCACTCCCCCAGTGACAACCTATCTCCGCCGCCAACCACTAGCCACCTCCCAGCTCCGTCTGAGGCTCATCGCCACCGAGTCGAGAAGGAAGAAGAAGCCTGCCGCCGCCAGCCACCAATCGCCTCACTAGCCCAGCTCTGTTCAATCCTCGGGCCAGCCGGCGGGATGGAGACGTGGTGCCGACCTGTCTCAGCCCGCCAGCGAGAGGTTTGCAACTAGCATCCTTGCCGGTTGGAGCGGGTAGGTTATATGTTGTGAACGGGGGGCGAAGTTGGTAGGTTACCCGCATGGGACGTGACAAGGCAGGTATGGTATCCGCCCCGCCACGGTACAGTTGATTTTTCGGCGCCCTGGCGTTGGAATTCGGGCAACAACGTCTACGGACTAGTGACGAAACTCAATAAGGGCAACAATATAATGTAATGGAGTTTTGGGTAAGGCTGACTGAAAGATGTAGGGGAAGGAACTTAGGATTCCACAAGAATGCTCTGAGGCGGCCAACAAATTTGTAGAAGATCGAAGGTATTTAAGGTCTGATGAATGATTGTTTACAGTTGAGGTCGGGATGGCAAGCAGCAACCAGCGGGTAAAGAGGAATCGCAAGTTGATATACGGCGAGCATGGCCGAGGTGGTGGCCTGCCACAGTTGCCATGTCTGAGGTGAGGGTGATTCAGAAAAAACAGAGATAAGGAAGAAGAGAAAGATTGGATGGCATTTCCGAGGAGAAAGTTAATTTCGAAGAAGAGAAGGGTTGGATCGCGTTTAGGGCTGGATTTTCGGTTATCTCGGTTATAACCGGTAACCGAAATGTCGGTTACCGGTTAACCGCGACCCCAAACACGCCTATCGCCAACCGTCCGACGGAGCCCATCGGTTATCCGACAACCGACCGGTCGGTTACCGGTTAGTTGCTCGGTTAGCCGAGTTAACCGCAACGACGTAGTTGGCTCGATGCTGGAACGGCGGCGGAGGTGAAATCGAGGTTGAATTGAGATCCTTTCTTCTCCAGGACTGAATTCAGGCCCTGCAAGGCGGGCTTCGAATCGGCGCACATCGCAATGTGCGGCTGCTTGTTCTTCCCGATTTCGGCCGAATCGATGTCGATGTGGACGATTGTAGCTCTGCTGGCGAACGTTTCGACTTTCCCGGTGACGCGGTCGTCGAATCGCACACCGATCGCGAGGAGGAGATCGGCGTTGTCGATGGCGTAATTGGCGTACATGGTCCCGTGCATTCCGAGCATTTGGAGGGAGAGATCGTGGTCGCAGGGGAAGCTCCCGAACCCCATGATCGTGCTGGCTACAAGAATACCCGTGAGACCGACGAATTGACGGAGCTCCTTGCTGGAATTCAAAGATCTGCCGCCGACGTAGAGGACCGGCTTCTTCGATTGGTAGATTAATCGAACGATCTGTTCCAATTGGGGAATCTCTGGCGGTTTGGGGAGTCAGACGGTGTAACCCGGCAGCTTGATGGGTCGGGTCCAGGTCGGGTTCAAGCAGGGGAGAAGTGAGTCAGGGTAGGCGGGCGGCGGCACAGAGGAAGCGAGCAGATGCAGAGAACGAGAGAAGAGAAGGGAAGGGGTGGGCGGGTGGCTTCGATTAGGGATTTAGGGGTGGGCCGGTTAGCCGGTTAACCGGCGGTTATCGCCCTCGGTTAGCCGGTTAACCGCCACATCTAACTTCCCTACCGAACACCGCCCGAGAACATAATTTTCGATTAGTTGGTTAACCGGTAACCGCCGGTTATCGATTTAACCGGCCGGTTAACCGACAACCGATAACCGAACCTCCAGCCCTAATCGCGTTACAAAGAATAAGGGTTGGAGAAGAGGAGAGTTGTGTGTGGTTGTGAAAAGCAGAGAAGGAAAAGAAGGATTAGGTTGAGGGAAGGAAGAAGTGGCCAAGAAGAGACCGTTGGAGAAGAAGAAAGTTCAAAGGTCTTTGGCGGCGAGCGGGGTAAACGATGGGTTAATAGAACTGAGAGAGGGAGAAGTAGCCACGTGGACCTATGAAGAAGAAATGTCTGGAAAAGGTCCAGTCGCAGACAGGGGCGGAGCCCGCATTTTGACACCGGGTGATCCGAAAATAACTAAATGTAAATAAAAATAAAATAATTATTTTAAAAGTATACAACGTTTTTTGAAATCATTGAAAAATCACTCAAAATTGCATCTAAACTGAATGCTTTTGCTATCTTTCTTTCAATATAGTCTAAAAATCATTGAAAGCACTCAAAATAAAGCAAAATGTGAGGTAGTAATGAATTGAACCTAGGTACTTCACACTAAAAACTAGATTTTTTTTATAATGCACACTAAAAACTAGATTACCTACCAGTAGACTACATGATAGTTATATGAACTAATGTTCTGGCCGAGTCCTACTTATTCAAATTTTATCTAAGTATGCTTAAAGTTCTAGGGGCCCGGACTATTCCCGGGGGGCCGAGGCCCACCCTACTTTGTAAGTAGCTCCGCCCCTGTTTTATTTGGTTCATTGGTTCACTATTTAACCACCGAAAAATTAAGGAAAATAATAATTTAACACAAACTAAGACCATCCAATATGAATTACTAATTTTATTTCGACTGCATATTCTTCGTTTCGCAGCTTCCTTGAATGTTTTGTGTGTTCCACTACGGGTTGCCACTCTAATTATCAATTTGAATTTAAAAAGGAATTTATGATGTATTTTGTGGGATAGTTTGAATGATTTTGTTAGAATTTTTGGTGATGGATGATAGGGAATTAGGGATTTGATATATATTTTTTATAGTTAGTAATAAATTGAATCATAAGTTAGTGTGTTATATATGTTTTTTATGATATTTTGCATGAACGGTTCTATCATGTGTTAACCAACAATTCTACAACGGGTTCTATCATGTGTTAACCAACAATTCTACAACGGTTAACTGTTGAACCATAAATCACTACATTTTTCAATTCAATATATAATCCGGTTCTGAAAGCACAGGAGAAGATATACGACATACGACACGAGTTAATATATATGTTAAGCTAACTATCTAACGAAACTTAATCGATTTAACTTTGGCTGACATGCTTCAAGGCAAGGTGCACTGATCACCGGCGGCGAGAGTGGCATCGACGCCTCCGCGGCCAAGCTCTTCGCTCAGAATGGCGCCAAAGTCATAATCGCCGACATCCATTCCGACCTCCATCGCCGAACAGATCACCTCCAACTCCCCCCACGCCCAACCGATCACCTACGTCCAGTGCAGCGGCGGATCCAGGATAGGGTAGAGCACTGGGTCACATTTGAAAAGAGGAGGAGAGGATTGGGCTATAACCCGACGAGCACAGAAACAACACCTAATATCGGAAATTTACAAGGGCTATACCAGCTCTAAATCTAGGGGAGGGCTGGGCCGTGAGCCGGGGGCGGGCCCCCTGAATCAACCGTTGGTCCAGTGTGACGTCAGCAACGAGTCTGACCTCCAAAACGAGTAGACACCGCCGTATCGGCCCACGGCAAGCTGGACATCATGTTCAACAACGCCGGGATCATGGGCCAACTCGCGGGGATGCAGATCGTGACAACGGACGGCCAGGATCTCGCTAAGGTGCTCGAGGTCAACGTCCGCGGCGCGTTCCACTGCACCAAGCATGCGGCGCGCGTGATGACTGGGGAAAAGAGAGGGGCGATTATTTTTACCGCCAACAGCGTTACGACGACGTTTGGGAACGCGCCGCATGCCTATACGACATCGAAGCATGTTTTGGCCGGGCTGATGAAGAACCTGACCGTTGAGCTGGGTGGGTATGGGATTTGGGTTAATTCGATTTCGCCCGACGGGGTTACGACCCCGATGGCGATGAACGCGCTCGGGTTGGACCGAAGGGCGGTTCAGAAACTGGGTTCGCAGTGGGCGAGCTTGAAGGGGACGGTGTTGGACGAGAACGACGTCGCGGAGGCGGCTTTATACTTGGCCAGCGACGAGTCCAAGTTTGTGAGTGAGTTGAATCTCGTGGTGGATGGCGGCTACAATTTGAAGAGTGCTTGACTTTTTTGTTGTTTTTCTCGGGGTCGGATACTATGTCTACCCCCAAAAGGGTTAGTTTTTTACACCCCTTCTTAATTGGTCAACTTTTTCATTAATCATTGTCAAGTATTAATGAAAGTAGACATAATAAATTTTTTGTTATTAAATACAAATTAAGAATTAAATATATTGTATTAATTACTAGCATTTTTTTAAATCTAAACCTATGGAAAATACAATTATCTCTCCTATTTATGATCCTTCTCTCTTCTATCTCTGATCCTTCCTTTTCCGACAACCTCTGACCGACTCCTCCCCAAGACCCTCTTCCGGTGAGTTTTCTATTTTCATATCTGACTTTTTGATATCCATATCTGATTTGTGTATCACTGCACTGATATTTGTATCACTACACTTCAACTCAAAATATGATATTTGTACAAGTGCACTGGTAGTGATACCACTGCACTAGTCGCAATACCACTGCACTGGTAGCGATATCAGTGCACTGATACAAATGTCAGATCTGAGTATCAGTGCAGTGGTACAACATATCAGTACAGTGGTACATTTTTTTAATGTTGTGGTATACTTTTGCATGTGGTCGAAGAAAGTCTACCAGCGAAGTGTGGTGGTCGGAGGAAGGTTGGTGATTGGAGGCTGCTGGGAAAGGAAGAATCAGAGATAGGAGAGAGAAAGATTAGAGATAGGAGAGAGAATTTTATTTTGTATAGGTTTAGATTTAATAAAAACAAGTAATTAATGTGTTGTATTTAATTCCTATTTTGTATTTAATAACAGAACATTTATTATGTCTACTTTCATTAATACTTGTCAATAATTAATGAAAAGGTTGACCAATTAAAAGGGGGTGTCATTTTTCCAACCCCTTAGAGATGTTAGCAAGCTAACGGACCCTGTTTTTCTCACAGAGTGAAGAGTAATTAATTGACTAATCATTTGGGAATTGTTTGGTTCTTTAATGGTTAAATTACACAATTGGTCACTCGAATTACATAAATCTTTCACTTTTGCCACCCGAATTACTTTTTTTCTGATTAGCCACTAACTTTATAATTTGTTTCACCATTAGTCACCGATCGTCAGTCTCCGTTAACACCGTTAGATTTTTTATGACGTGCCAAATGAAAATGCTTACTAGACTGTCAGAAAGCCGAGTCGCATAATTTTGACTACCTAGTCAGCCTCGACCCAACAATTGAGGGGACCATTTTTACATTTCATTTTACTTTTATTGAGAAATTTTGACTTTAGTTAGACCAAGAAATTCGGATGGTCGTCGATGCTTCTCCTCCGTCGACTCCATCATCAATCTCACTAGTTTCAACCGACTTCTACCACCATTTTGTTCTGCCGACTAAATCAATCCGTCCCACTCCTCTGTCGCTAGTCCATATCTCTGCTCTTCTGTAAACAAAGAAGCAAGCTTACTAGAATCTCTAATTCGTCATAATCTAAAATCCCTAGAAGCTACTTGGATCTAGCGTTCTCAACCATTCAATGCCATCGTTTTCATTCAAGTCGGGGTCGGGTCCGGGGATGCGGCACGACGACAAGAAACAAGGGCGTTGGTCGCTGGACTCTGCCGTCATTTCTATAGTGTCAGTTTCTAGCGCCAGGGCAACATCATCAATTGAGTTTCCATCTTCTCTTCCATCGAAGAACGAGCCCTCCTCCACCCACTCCTCCACCGATTCGACCCAGATACAACTAATCAGGAAGCATACATCAAACAAATGACAAGCTCCCTCTTTTGATTCGACCCGGAATCGTTGCCGTCACCGCCTTGACCATCATCTTCCGACGAGGAGTCCATGGAGGAAGAAGTTTTTTTCTTCTTCTCCTTCTTCTTTAGTTCGTTGAGTTGGGGGTACAGAAATGGCCTCATCTCGGGGACGGCGGCGGAAGGTTGGAAAAAACCCTATTCTCAATTGGTTGTGGCAACGCCAAAAAGCAATGGGTTTGAAAATTTCTTATTTGTTTAATTTTTGTTTTTAATTAAAAATTCCAACTTAGCCTTTTTTTTCCAACCCAATCAGCACTCTTGTTTGTCACGTCATCAAAAATCTAATATAATAAACACTTTCTCCATTTACGCTTCATCATTTCAAAATTTCTATCTTCTTATGTATCAATGTCAGCAGCCATCCCACCAATCGATTATCATGGATCCTTCTTTCTTTTAATGTTAATTCATTATTTTTCCTTGTTAAAGCTAACGGTCTAAATTAAAAGAGCACTTTTTATTTAATTTTTTCTTTTAAAATTTTTAGTAATCCTATTAGATAGTGCCTCCTAGCACACTATCTTTCTTCTTTTTCAATCCCCTACTATTCTTAATTGATTCGTATTTATTTCGATTGAACTATAAATTTAAATATTTTTGCGCCAAAAAACCAGATTTTATGTGAGCTACACAACGATTTCTATTTTGATATATGTTGACTTTTTTTCAAAACCATGGTCACAATCATATATTAATGAGTCATGCTCCTATTGGACAATTACTAGGGGTCGTATGGTTTTGGTGATTGTGTGGTTGAGATAGTTACAATGTGTGCACTATCCACAATGCAACGTTTTTCTCTCTCTCGCTCTTTTTTTTTTTTTTTTTTTTTGAATTTTCACCACAAACAATACATGCATTGTTTGCTTGATGAGATGCAAACTATCACTCGAAATGAGTAATAGTTAAATCTCAAGTTTTTGGTGAGATTGAGATTGTTGTGTTTTTTTCTTCTAACTATGTCCCTACCTTTCCTATGTCTGTTGCTTTTTAATATTAAAAACAAGAGTAAATACAATTTAATAATCAAACCTTTCATTTTAAACAATATAATAGCCAAACCTTTTCGAAAACAATTTAATCTCCGATTACTATCCGCACACTCAACGGTTAGTTGACTCTGAAGTGGAAACTCGGCAAAATGACGTGGCAAACAATCACTTTTTTAATATTATAACACAATGCTATTCTTTAAATAAATAAATAAATAAAAGATAAATTCCTAGCTCTACCCCGTCAATTTGGGATATGTCCCCCCGCCGCCTCCTCCTTACTTCACCAACGTCGGTGAGTTCCTACTGTTGCTGCTTCTTGGTCCTCTAATATCAGTCGTCGCAGCCCGCAGGTCATGCCTTTCCCCAATGCGCCTCCTCTTCACCCCTCTCTACGCCGGCAGCATCCACGGCGGGAAACCTTGAGCTTTCAATTCTGCCCCACACCGACCCGTCTTCTTCCTCCTTTGATCGGTGACGACTATGAAAAACCTCGCCCTATTCTTTATTCAGAGCATATCCCTAATACCTCCTCCCAAAAGCAGTTTGCCACTTTAGATTCCGCTCGTCCATCGAGCGCAGCTCATGCGGCTGGTAGTCGTCGCCAACCCAGATCTAAATCTGCAGAATCTGATTCCCTACAGTAGTCGTCTCTATGACTACACCCACAAGGGAGATGAGGATCCAGCTCATGTGGCAGAGAGACAACAACAGATTGGGGAAAGTTTCCCAAGCCAAGATAAATGATTCAGACATAAAAGAGAGGGTCTAGAGATCAGAAAAACGAAGCGGAGAAAGAGGGAGCGAGCAAAAGGACGATTTGGTTTCTGAATCGGCAGCGATAGGAACTGGGTTGGGGCTCAATCTGCATCATCATCTCCGTTGCCGATCCCGATCAAAAATCGTCATCATCGGTTAGGGTTGGAGGCCCTTCTTCTTCATCTTCGACCTTGGCTACTGAATCTCCAAATTCGCCGCCATCTGCTAGTGGAAGGGATTGCGTCGAGGAAATCAAATTCGTCACCACGTAGCCGCAGTAGCAAGATGATGAGGCGGAGACGGAGGTGGGGTTGTCTTCTGTTGCCACAAAGGCGTTTCCCCGATTGAGAGAGGGTAGGGGAAGAGAAGAAGATACAAGATAATATATTTTTTTAACTTTTCCACAAGAATATAAGACTTAGTTGAAATTTATAATTATCTAATCAAATGTTTGATTTTGTGCCACATCATCAAATTTGTTCCACCTCAGCAATGATTTTGCTAAATCAAAGTCAACTAATCGTTGACCGGATGGAAAGTTAACGGATTGACTATTAAATTGTTTTCGAAAAGGTTTGGCTTTTATATTGTTTAAAGCGAAAGGTTTGGCTATTAAATTGTATTTACCTAAAAACAAAGGGTAAAAGTGACATTTCACCCAAAAAGTATTATAACTTATTTAAATAATACACTGCGGGCATTCTATTCACTCAGTCTACGGAGAGAAACATAGAGAAGGGGAAAATAGAGTGAGGGACAGAATTTGACCGAAAAAACCCAAAAGACAATAACTAAAGACGAAAAATTTGATGTTGGGTCGGTTTGGGTTATTCGGGTTTTAGAATCCATAACCAACCCAAATAATGGTCTTCATTAGGGATGGCAATTTGAACCCGCTTCGTCGGGTATTACCCGACCTGACCCGCGATGGGGCGGGACATGGGTATCAACTTCCAACCCGCCCTGCCCCGTCCCGCCCCGTTCTTAACCCGGTCTAGGTTAATTTCTTACGCCGTCCATTCATATATCTCCTGTTTTGGGCTTTTCTTCAACTAATTAGACTTTATCTTTCAACTAGATAGAATCAATTACCCATTACATTATCATGATTATTCATTCGTGAAGTCTTTTTCCCTTCCTGTTATCGTAAAAAGTAAAATTTTGCGTGTATTTTTTTCATATAGCATGTAAGAGTGAGTCGACCCGCCCCACCCCGCACTCGCGCGGGTATTACCCGCCCCGACCCATAATAGCGTAGGGCGGGACATGGATATTAAGGTACCCGCCCGCCCCAATCCATTGTCATCACTAGTCTTCATTCTAGCACCCTCGCCCATGACCCACCCATTTGATTTGAATTTTCCAATGTTGTCAGAACCGAACTGGAGCATGACCCGGTAATGCGAACGGCTCGCACTTTAGTGGTCCAACCGACATTAGACCGTTTAAAAACCGTTAGAGAACCGATACCTGATAAATGTTATCAGTATAAATAGTGGACATTTCTTAATCAGAGCTCGTCTCTTTCCTTCAAATTTGTGAAACGGATGTAAGGATTCAGTTTGAGAGCCCGACGTTTTTGGTTTATATCAATTTTCAATTTTCTGCAATTTTTTTAATTAAATTTAATGGCTGAATGGCAAAAACCAAACGAGCGGCTTGATCGGCTCGAGCGGTTAACCGCCTCGGCCGCTCGTCAACCGCTACATAAATGATAAAACCGGAGCGGCTTTTAGACTGTTTCGAGCCGGTTTTCTAACCGGGTGGCGGTTTTATCGATCGGACCGTGCGGCTCGGCTTTAATAACACTGAAATTTTCTCACCTTCCAGGTTGGTTTGGGCCGGATGGCATGGGGGGTCGGGTTTCGGTTCACTTTGTTCACCCCTAGTCCCTAGATATGCACTCATTTTGATCATCGATGGACGAACCAACGAGACTAGTGATACCAATTAGGGATGGCAACCAAACCCGAACCCACGGGTACCCACCCGACCCAACCCGGTCAACGCGAGTAAAATCCGTGTTGACGGGTTTTGGGTCGGGTTTGGGTTTAAACCCGTTCACTATTCACCGGGTTGGATTGGGTTTGGGTTTTGGTAAACCCGACCCGTGGGTACCCGCCCACACATATAATTAATTTTCTCGGTATATTTAATATTTTAAACAACTAATCTTATTTATGTTTGTGGAGACATGTCAAATTTTTTCTTTCTAAGTGTGTAGAATGAAGTTTGTGTTATCGAGTGGAGAGTGGAGAAACTTAATTGAAAGGAAGAAGTCTTCAATTAATCATGTTATTTATGGATAATTTATTATTTACTTCAATTTTCTTGAGTCTTCTAGATTGGTGCTGAACAATTTGTATAGTTAATTTGTGATTTGCTTGAATTTTCTAGAATGGTGTTTTAAATATGGATAATTTGTATTGAGAGATTGATATTTGACTTTAATTTTGATAGGAACTTGTTATTGTAAATTTTTTACCACAAAAACCCGTGGGTACCCATGAACCCGCGGATACCCAGCAGGTTGGGTTGGGTTTGAGTTTTTCAAACCCAGTGGATTTTACCCCGGATTTTTTTCACGGATAAACCCATGGGTTCGGGTTTGAGTTTGGCAAAACCCGACCCAACCCGACCCATTGCCATCCCTAATACCAATTCATGTAGTTGGGCCTTCTTAACATGAGCCCAGCTCATAGCATATCCTAAACATTGCTGCCGCCTGCCAGAAGGTTCTCCTAACGGCGTACGAGGAACGGAAGAAGTCTACTCCTCCATCTCAGATACCGGAGTTCACTTGACGGCGACGAAAATGTCGACGCTCCTTCGTCACGTACGCTATCGTCGACCAAACATCAATCTCCTATCTCTCTCTGTCTCTGTCTCCAGATTGTCTTCAATAGCCGTGCCTTCGCGTTTCATTCACTCTCCCGTTTTCCCGCCGTCGTCAGCGCATCCGCCGCCGCCGACCATCACGCAGCATTTCATCAGGGCGTTCGGTTCCGACTGCTGCGGCGGCCACCACTCGAAGACGACCGTCAACACCAAGGTCAACTTCTCCCCACCCGGTTCCGATTCGGATTCAGACTCCGACGAGGCGGCCGACCATCAGAAGAAGAACTACACGTCACCGTCGAACCGGGGAGAAATCGACAAGAGCAAGCTCCCTCCGCCGTACGACCCGTTCAACAAGAGGCCCGCGGCGGTCGAGGACCCGGAAGACCCGAAGGACCTGCAGAAGATCTTCCACAAGATGCGGAGCGAAGATGGGCTGTTCAACAATGCAGTCAAGATGTTCGACGAATTGTCCAAGGACGGGCTGACGCACGAAGCCTTGGAACTCTTCTCCCAGATCAAGGACAAGGGCCAAATGCCCGACGTGGTAGCTCATACCGCCGTCATCGAGGCCTACGCCAACGCCGGCCAGTCCAAGGAAGCCCTGAAGGTGTTCCTGCGGATGCTCAACTGCGGAGTTGCTCCCAATGCCTATACTTATGCAGTCCTGATCAAGGGCTTGGCCGCCAGTGGGCGAATCGAGGATGCGAAGAAGTATGTGGTGGAGATGATGGGGAAAGGGATGCGACCAAATGCTGGGACTTACTGTGCAGTGTTCGAGGCTCTGGCGAGAGAGCAGAGAGTGGAAGAAGGCAGGGAGCTTTTGGAGCAGATGAAGGCCAAAGGGTTCTCACCGGACGAAAAGGCGGTGAGGGAAGTTATTGGGAGCAAAAGGGGTGCTGTTTTCAGAACTGTTATCAATCTTCTCTTTGGGAAGTAGTGGCTAATGGCTAAGGTAAGTTTGTAAGCTTTCACTTTTGGTAGTAGCTAATAGTGAATGAAAAATCCCTCCTTTGTGAACCGAGATCAGAAGTTTGAGTAATAGAAGGTTTTGTTATTGTTCTAAGTAAGTAGATGAAGAAGCATGCTTTACTCTATATATGATTTAGTATAGGCAATTTGAGCAGCTAAGATAGGCAGAGTTTCATTCATTGACAAACTAACTTGATAATAAGAGCACGACTTACTTACTAGTTTACTGATTACTTTAAGATATCTTACAACTAAAACAAGAGAAAAGAGAGAAGCTAAGCCTCCTTAATAAGCCCTAGCTGAAATTTTTGGTGGATTTGGCTTAAGCTCAACCGTGAAAGAAAGCCAGAGGGCAATTCAAGGATTCGACAATGGAACCTTGAAAGCGACCCATCGTTGCTTGCTTTGCGCTTAGGGGCCTTCAGAACAAGTATTTGAGTATTTCTCTTAGGTTCAGTATGCTTTCTTCTTTATCCCATCTTTTCAGAGCTATTTTCAACATCCTTACGGCTTCCTTTGGCTCAAAAGACTTCATCCCTTGGTGATTACCCACGCAGACCAATCGCCTCTTCTTCTCACTTTACCGTCACAAACTTCCACCACACTAGAAATCCTCAGAGCATCCAGAACCACGTTGACATCTCTGGTCAGCCTTGAAATCCTATTGAAACCGGCTATCAACCCAATGTCCACCCACCCTTGCCCGTCCATATGCTTTCTCAAGTACAGGTCTTTGATCAAGTTCTCCTTGCTAAAGTAGTACTCCACTTGGTTCCTGATGGCCGAGTGAATGTAAGAGGCATACGCTGCCCAGTTGTACAACACTGGATTCGGCAATGCTGGCCGCAGCAGCGGCCACCACCGTGGATGGTAAAGCGGCAGCGGAGGTCTCATCGCCGGCATTGGGATTGGCCGAGGAGGACCGATGAAACTGGGGCCGGGAGCAAAGTTGTTGCTTGGAGGCGGGGGAAACCACGGAGGGGCCGGGCCGGGGTATGGTTGTGGCGGAAGGCGAGTCCGAAAGGGAGGGACGGTGATGGTGGTGGCGGCGGAGGATGAGGATTCGGGAGAAGAAAAACTCATCGGCGACGTTTGATAATAGTTGTAGTAAACTAAACTGTCCTCTTCAGTCGTCAGGTTCTACCCTTCAAAAGGATGATTAATCCCTTTGGTTTGTGTCCAGATATATACTTAATTCTAGGCGGAGGAAAGATTTGGTTTCCTGGTGGGATTGTGAGTCCCTATTAGATATGGATTAGAGTTTGGTTTTATGGTAATCCGCTCGTATTCTTACATCATGTAAGACGTAAAACGGCAAGTTTATACGGCTGAGTATATCGTATTTGAAGTATAATACGATAGTTCAGGGTAACATTAGTTTGAACTTTTGATTTTAAGATGAAGGATGAGCCAGGAGGTAGGATTCGAAGCCTTTGAATACAGCTGAGAAACCTCATTCCTTCATAGGCAGCCTTGATTTCGTCCTCTCCAATCCCTCCATCTTCGGGGTGGGGCGGAAATTGAGAGACTTTCCTTTCCTGGCGAGATCAATGCTAATACCTATAGAATATGTAAAAGCCCTTGTCGGATGGTATGGAACCCGGATACAGATTTGTTGTTCTCGGTTAGTTCTTGTTACAGGTGGCAGGTGGCAGAGAGGTTTCTTGGGGTGGATAACTTCCAGCATGCTGCGGTTTGGAAGAGTGTCATTCCCATGAAGATTTGTGGTTTCATCTGGTTAGTGTGGCATAAAAGAATTCTCACTATGGACAATCTGAAGAAGCAAGGATTGGAGATGGCAAGCAGGTGTGTCCTCTGCTTCAAAGAGGAAGAATCGATTAATCATCTATTGGTAAATTGCAGCTACACCAGGCAAGTTTGGGGCGAGGTATACAGCTCCGGAACTCTTCTCGACTTCGCTTCTGAAGATATTTCAGACATCATCAACAGCAATTCTACTAATCGCATGGATGGTATGGAGTCTTGGTTTCGTTACTGTGTTGTTCATGCAATTTGTTGGGAAATATGGAAAGAAAGAAACAGGAGGATCTTTCAAGAGCTAAGCTGCACTCCTCGGGTGATCGCGAGGAAGGCAGTGAGAGGAATCATTGATTGGATTTTGGCTCACAAAAAGATCGACAAAGATCAGGGGATGGAGTTTTTGCAGAGCTGGGCTCCGCCAGAGATTGAACTCTCGGCCTTCCTTTGTTTGCTGTCCAGGGTCTCTTTTTCGTTGGATCTTCATTCACCTGTAACTCTTCCCTTACCCACTCCTTCTTGGGGTGACCAATTCTCTGTATCTTTAAACTCTTCCTCTCACGCCTTGTGGGATTTGTTTGCTTTGTCTAATAAAGTTCATCGTTAATTTGATATTGAATGAGTTTATATGGTATCAAATGTTAGTCGAATTAATATCGAAGATGATTGATTTATTTGACTTAAATATTTGTTAGGTCAACGTTGAATGTGAGTTAACCTCTTACTGGATATTAGTTTACTTGGGATTGAATATTAACTGAACTAGTACTCGAGAAGAATGATTTATTTTATACATTCAACTCATATTCTTTCGCATGTTACTCAGATTTGATACCAACTGAACTCATTACTTCAGATATTCAGTATTTGGTAGGGATGGCAACTTTGCCCATACCCATGGGTTTCTTACTATCGAACCCAATTGGGTTGGGTATGAAATCCAAATAGATGGATATGGGTAGAGTTTGATGGGTTTGTACCCATACCCATTTACTTTGGGTTGAGTTGGGTTTATATCAAATGGATTTGGGTTTGTACCCATGCCCAAATACAAATTACAGTTTGGTACCCAAACTTAATAGACATGCATATTTAGTACCTAAATTTAATTTTTTTTGCATATAAGTCCTCAAAATATCGATGGAAAATTACGTTTTGGTACCTAAATTTTTTTGGTCTTACATCTTGGTACCTAAACTTTTCAAGTTTTGCAAATAGGTCCAATTTTTGCATGTGTAGTTAAAACACCCTTAAGTAAATGGATATCCATATCCAACCCATACCCATTTAGATTATGGAAGCCCCAAACCCAAACTCATCTATAAACCCAAAATCCATATGCACTTCACCCATACCCAACCCATTATCAATGGGTATACTTGGGTTTGGGTATAATTACCCATGGGTGGGTAATTTGCCATCCCTAGTATTTGGGTAAACTATACGATATATGCACGATAAATATTCATATCCCCCAGACTAATATTCATATTGCTCAAACTAATATTGATCACACTCCCTTCCAAACCACTCGAAACATCTTATATTCATCAAAATTTCATGGGTCGGTGAATATACAGAAGCTAGTGTGTTGAGGTCGATTTGACCTTGCTCTCCCATGTTTACCCACATGGCATCGACTGGTTGATCTCTTGTCGGTGAGTGCTCGAAAGAATCGAATCCGAGTCTTTATTTTACTTCGTCTTTCTTCTTTCTTTAACTGCATATCCATATCTCTTCTAAAACAAATCCATGAACAAACACGAACAAGACATGCATATAAAAAATTTGAAAACCTAAATCTAGATTTTTAGCATCTCTCATGTTTTAAATTTCTTCCTTTGGAGAAATTTTTTTCCTTTGAAAGAAGGAAAGATAGTGGGAAAAGAAAGAGACAAAATGAGAGTGAGAAGATTATTTTGTTTTCATTGTTGTTGTGAAAGGAAGAGAGTAAGAGAGAGTGAAGTGGTGGCCTAGTGGGATCCACCATTGAGAGTAAGAGGATGGTTTGGCTTGGCTTAGCGCATTTTTTCACCCACTAAATACTTTCTCAAGCCAACAATTCTCAGTCACACATTTTGGCTTTTGATGATGTGGACCAATGAGAGTGTTGTGAGTTGGTCCACACAAAAAATGTTTATGCACCATAGCAAGATTGTGCAATTTTGCTCCAATTTTTGCTCCGGGTCAAATTTGCCCCTCATTATTTGCATGGTTGGAGGAGAATGAAAGTGTATAAATACAATTTTAGACTTTTGCCCCCCCAATTTACTCCATGGTTGGAGATAGTCTAAAAATATTTTTTCCGTATCTTATTTTTAAGTTTGTTATACCTACGGTATAAGTTAAAATGATCCCTACAAAATTTTCACAAACAAGGATTTGGTCTATTAGTAATACCTCTAGGTTTCAACCTAGACATTTTATATTCGAATTTCTACTACAACCACAAAAAGTAAATCTATATCATCCTTATAAAAACAATCATATAAAATTTGATTAAAAATTGATAATAATGTTAAATTATGTACGGACATTGGCCTAACATTTGGCAACAATAAAATATCGAGAACTTATAGTTCACTAATATTTTCAAGTGGGTTGTTCTTCCATAAATTGTTATTGGATAGAGTAATTTTTGCATAAAAATATTTGTGATATTCTTTAAAAAAAATTATAAGTTTATCAAGGTGACTATCACTTGTGAAAAGTATCTAATTCCAATTATGAATGATCATACGAAATATAAATCACTGAGCTTTCATATATTAAATTAATTAAGTTCTTCCAACCAACGAATCAAACTTTAATCGAGTTCAATACAATACTAATTATTTAGTAGCAGAAACCAGAATTTGAGTCTCGAGAACCGAAGTTATTTCTTGACATATAATCGGGAAATTGAGATTCAAAATACAATACTAATCATAGATCTCGGTATGTTTGGCACACTAATCTTGTTTTTTAGGCCAAATTGCATTTTTTTTTTTTAAGATGAAGGATTGGCGAGGAGGTGGCCTTCGAAAGCCTTGAAAATAGCACAGAACATCTGCCAGATCCCTCCATTCGCAGCCTTCACTTCATCCTCACCAATCCCTCCTTCCTCGGAGGTGAAGAACTTGCTACTGCGCTTGCAGATCGTTCCGCCGCCACCGTCGACCGATTCCTCCATCTTCAGACGGTAAGAGATTTTCTCGACGCCGGCCATCAGAGCATCACCGCCGATCACCGTGTAGCCGTAGATCAGCTTCTCCTTGTCCAGCTCGTCCACCACTTCCTTCACAAACTTGAACGGGCTCCCTGTAAATTACATATAGAAAATTTGCGGATTAAAACTTAAAAACTTACATTTTTATAATTTTTTAGTTTATCAAAATGTTTCTATATAGAATCGCGATTTTTACCTTCGTTGAAATGGACTTGCTTGATGGTTCCGGGGCCGCCGTCGCCTTCGGAGGCGACGCTCTTGATTGCCTCCGGGAAGATTTGCGCGGCGATCTTCTCGCCGTCGACGACGAAGGCCTTGAACATCTTCGCCGGAGGGATGGAGGTCGTCACCTCTGCTTCAAAGCTGAAGATCGCCATAGCTATATTATGTAAGGTAAGCTGGAATCCACAGAGTTGGTGAAATTTTGAGAGGAACTTGTGAGATTTATCGTCCATGGAATTCCGCCATGTGGGTTTATATATTTAGTGATGGTGGATTGGTGGTAGTACTTTTCAGTCATCGGGCGCCATTGTTGAATACTATAGTCTTCTTTTACGTTTTCTAATCAGGTAATAATTTTTTTTTTATTCCCGAGTCTATATTGGTCGTTGGAGTTATGGATAATCTATGTTATGATTCCAAATCTAATCTCATCACTTACTACTTCCAAACTTTGTTCATCCTCTTAACTCAAGTTACTCGTTGAATTTGTACGTTAATGTCAAAAAGACGTACAAAATAGGTTATATTGCAACGTGTACAAATTCAAATAAAATGTATAAATTCAATTTATACTATATAACAATTTATTTTAACAAAATAATTGGTTATAAATCAAACTCACGAGAACCATAGTCCAATAATGAAAGACATGTTAGGGCCCCGACCAAGGACCATACCAATATTGCATTCTGTCTGCTTAGATTCGATCCATCTATCAGTTCGGTCCATTTTTCTTTCGTATTTACAAAATTCATGAAACCAATAACGAGATCTTGATATATTCAATCTGGTATAATCCGGGTAAGAGTCAGTTTAGTTTGATGCAATCCTGTACGGACCTAATTTGGGAGTTTGAGTTTGACCATGGCGGCCACGACTCGTAACAAAGAGACAAAATCACAAAACGCAAAATGGACAACCCTAGGGATCTGCCGATCTGGTGACTCGTTAGAGGAAGGTGTGGGAATCTGGGAGTTGGCGCCGCCAGTGATAGGCTTTGACCATAATCTTATTAGGCCGAGCCATTTCGGTCCATCTTTATAAAAGCCCAGCCCAAGTCCAGCTATTTTGTTAACGAATTTGGAATTGACGAGAATTTCCGTCAAAAAATAAAATGAAATAAAATTGACGAGAAAAGGAAACTGGAAATAAATACTCCCAACTAATCGTATGATGAAATTAAATTATTATTTTACCAAAAAATATATTTTTTTTTATTATTATTAATTAAAAAGTTGGGTCCCAACCATTTTTTCCACCTCAACACCGACCTATTTGTTTCTGCTGGACGGTTTAGATGTGCCTGTTTGTTTGTGGTATTAAACTTGTACAGGTGATGTACTACATTAGCTAAACATTTTAGAATAGAGATCTAACTTGATTTTTTAAATACATTAAATTGTTGCTTTTGCATCCACTTCCTCAATCCAAAAAACATTTATGCTAAGTTGTCTAAATAAGTTATCTGAATCTCAGTATATTTTACTTTTTCTTTCATTTATCACTTATATTTTATGGTACAATAATGAATATGGAAACAAAACAAAAAAGGATCAACAAAAAATTAGTAGATAGCCGTGATACAATCTGAACTCCCACTTTCTTAGCTATAACAAAGCTAAGCCTAATAAAAATATATGGCCGTCCGAGCCCCTGCTTCCTGAGACATAGAGAATTTATGAATCCGCTTGACTAAAGTCACAACATCCGTATCCAACTCTCCTAGTGAAGAAGAAGAAAAAATGGGCAGGAAAAATTAACCAACCGTCATACACAAATCCCGATACTTTGCATACTTTTGTTGAGCAACATCAGCAACAACTCGACCAGGCACAAAACCAGTCATCCAAGTCTGAGTCAAAAGTGAAGACCTAGTAAGATCGACACATACATCTAGCCCCCTGTCCAAGGAATAAAGCAGCAAATCTGCAGGACGAAGGGGTCCGCCATGCCCATCAACCAAATCTATATCAACCACCCTACCAACAGAAATCCCAGACTTGTAACAATTGTCTAATAAGGTGTAACGAACGAAGTCATGTCAATGCTTAATGCCCACAGTACCAACACAAAACACAACTTGATCTCCAAAGACATCACCGTGAATGACACAGGAAGGCTTAGACCGAAAACAACGTGACACCCAATCGATAACTCAGCACACTACGATATGTCCTCCCATTCATAGGAACAACGCGCAACCAATCAGAAGAGTATGCACTCTGCCGAGACTTCCACAAAGCCACCTGACGAGTAGTCAACGAGAAAACATAATCTAAAGTAGCAACAACATTCGCGAAAATGTATTTTTATCTGAGATCGTTTGGTTTTGGTGATAGTTTGGTTAGGATAGTTACAATGTATGCAATGTTATGCATTGTTTTTTTGAATTTTCTGCACAAACAATACATGCATTGTTTGCTTGATGTGACACAAACTATCTCTCAAAACGAGTGATAGTTAAATCTCAAGTTTTCGGTGAGATTGTTTGATTGAGATTGTTGTGTTTTTTTCTTCTTTGGGTCGTTTGGTTTTGGTGATAGTTTAATCAATGTATTGTCATCAATGCAGGCATAATAATATACATGTATATAAGAAAATTGGTGTGTTGTAGTTTACATTGGTGTATTATGAAAACCAAACGATGTAAATTACAATATACCAATTTTGATATATATATATATACACAATATATTATGCACTTCACTCTATGTCATTGTTGCCACCTTGCACTTTGATTGGTTCTCCTTATTTGGTGGAAGGGCAACTTTGACAAATTTTCAAACACTCAAGGGTCACTCATTATTATTGGACTTTTGGTTTTCTTTTTAGTAAATGCGATTAGGATTAAGGAAAAAGAAGATTTGTTTGAAGGTAAATGCTACATAATAATTATTTGAATTTTGCTCTGTGTAGACTTATTTTGCGTGGTTAAGGAAAAAACAGAGGCTATCTAAAGTTGTTTAACTCCTAAATGAGATAATGCTTGCGAATTGGATTTTGAGATGATAAAGATGATATATCGTTGTGGCGTGGATGTTTGGGAAAGGGTTCCTTCGGAATAGGTTTTTTCGCATTAGGATTTTACGTTAAACAGATAAACCAAGCATTAACCTTCAAAAGTTTTAGAATCTTAATTTCACAGTGATTTCGGCAAACATGAAGAGGAAGAAAGACGGAAAATCTTGGCAAAATACAATCAATTTATATTGTTTTAAATTCTTTTAATTTTCAAATTAGCATGTCTAATTTTTACATTAAATTTTGAAAGGTAAGATCGCATGTTTAGTCGTAGGTTAAACAATAATTCGATCCATATCGTACCGACTCGATATTTGTGTCGAATTAGATCAAACAAAAAAATCAATTTTTTTACTCTATGTAATTGCTTAAAGTCGAGATAGTTTTTATTAGAAAATTATTAAACGTAAAATATGATCCAATGGAATAACTTAAATGCTTCTTCAACCTAACTACGTTGTTATTTACACCTGAATAGTTCCATTAACGATTAAAAAATAGTTGTATAATGATAAACGATTAATCATGAGTCATTGAAATTTTTCAACCGACAACTGCTCCGCTTTTGAAAATATAGGACATAGTCAATAAAATATTTTAAAATATGAGCATATTGTTAAAGGTTAACTTTGAATTATGATAACTAAAGTTCAAATGATTGAATAACTTAAAAAAGCCATTTCAAGTCAAAGTATTCTTTTGCTAATATTTTTCATTTTTGTCTCTTTCAAAAATATAAATTTAATACATCTATACTAATATTTTTGGATTTGCTTTATATAATTGTCCAAATAATCTATTTCCATATCATTTTTTTTTCTCCTCGAATTTTTGTATCTTTAAACTATTTAAATGTAATACATCTATAGTAATATTATGTACATTATTTACTTTTTAATTCAATAGATGACAATCAACTATATTTAAATTAAAATAGTAATAAAATTTTCAAAGCTTCATTTGCAAGGTAATTATTTACATATAACGAAGATAAAAAATTTTGTTGACTTTTTTTTTATTCAGTGATGTTTAATATCTCAAGGCATGAATATAGATTCCAGATAGTTTTTCATTTCATTCTTTGTCTAACTTAAACTTCTTATAGTTAAGTATAAAATGAAATACAAATTCAATAAAATTATAAAGTTAACGGGCACTAAAAAACATAAACTATCAAAGTACTCTTTTGTACCATCAGTGCACAATACTAAAAATCGAACCACCTACGTTTAACTAAAAAAAAATACCCAAATGACCACAAACCGGCCAACGGACCGGATACAATATATTATACATGTATTAATAACAATGCATCAACTTAACTATCACCAAAACCAAACAAAAGTTTCTCCATATATTATAGAATCGGTTTCAAAACTTTTGGGATGATATATCATATATATGGTGATTGACCAAGTAGCACAATATGTTAGGTGAGAGACAAACTGCATTGAACGCAGTTTTGATTAGTTTGGTAAGCCATTGATTAATCATTTACTTCTCTTAAACAAAAACATTTTTACCTAAAACGCCAACCAGAACTTAATCCAAACAGCGAATAAGATTGGTTTAGTTATCACTAAACGACAAACTTTTTATTTATCCCTTTCAGGCTTTCACCCACACGGTTGGCAAAAAAATGTCCCCTACTACTAAACTTGAATAAATCCTTAAATTCTATAAAAACATGTTACAATTAAGGTTATAAAAAAAACAGCTGTCTTTTGTAATTTTTTTCTCTTCTATGATCGCAACTACTGATAGTGAAACAAATTTATGAAAGGTGGATATGATTACAACCAAATGTGAGCATTTTAGTTGTATAAAAATGTTATTAATATAATAATAGTGTAACATCCAACCATTTGTTGACTAACAATATTGGCTTCTTTGGGTTTGGTTTGACATGGATTTTGGTTTGGTTGCATATGGTGATGTTTGAGCCACAATACTTCCTTTCCGCAGAAAGAAATGTTACTCTTCTCGGCAAGCACTCGGACCCTGCAAGACAAGCGCCTAGAGGGCTTGACCCGCCCGTTAGCACTCCGACGATCAAGTTAGCCGCGATTCTAGACAGGTAAGTGCAATAAGTGACCTTAGTGAGAGAAACCGACATGCTTAAATGCCACCTACCGGGTGCTATTTATACTACTTGAGCTTCCGACTAGGTCCCGATCAGCTCCTGCCGGGCAGCCTTACGTCAGCCCAACATTAAATGTTTGGTCTGGTCCAACGTCTAAGCGCCTATACGTGGCGCATCCTCCAGCCCTTGCGTCAGGACGCATGGGGGGAGGGGGGGCATCTGTCTACGTGACGCTTTCCCGATCTTCCCCTGCCGTACTTCCTTGTCTGCGAGCCTATTTTGTCGTCATGCGCCCCTTCATCGTTGGTCTTAACCCAGGCCATGCCCTATCTTCAGGCCCATCAGATACTCTTCTTTAGTGGGCCTATCCATACTTCCCCAACATGTGACTTCCTAATATTACTCATATTCACATTGTTTCACCTGCAACACGCTTAACATCAGAGTTCATATAATAAGTCTTCAATTTCATCTCAGAAAGCGTGTTATTGATTAAAATTGAATTATTTCTTATGATTCATATCTCTCTCACATGTTTCTGTCAACGTAAGCTTTTTCGAAGATGTAACATATATGATAGTTCACATCCATTTAGTTTTTTTTTTCATCATGAAGAATATAACACTAGACCAACAAATACACAACCAAGTAACGTATAACATATACACTCTGTCACTCTTTTTTATGCTCACATGCTCTCTCTCCTAATGATGATAGTTGTGTCTTGGTTTGCTCCACCAAATTCATGTTTGCATGTTTAATTTACAGTCTCGCACGTCAACATTTGTGTTCTCGACGTGCATGATTCTGAGTACCTAGCGCATGAGCGTTATGAGAGGTAGGTGAATATAATTTTGACTAACCGATTAACGGTACTATGCCTCATTACACTTAATTAACGAGTTATGATGTTCATACACCTTATGTTTCTTTTATGACTCAACCATTGGCAGGTATTGAAATGTTTACACACCTCAATCTTTATATGCATCTCGAACTCATTGCATGGTGTCCAACTATCGTCAATCTACGGGGAAAAATAAACTATAAACCTTTCATCATCCGTTTTGCCCCCTTCCGATCATAAAAAATTAAATATGTCTTTTAAGATGATAATAGTTAATGACCTAATGGTGTTTGCTTTAGTAAGTGAATATATAATAGCATTTAAATGAAAAAAAATTTCTTGATAAGAATATTGGAAGTCTACAATATAAGTTTTAAGATGACTCCTCAAGTACCAGAAAAATTTCATATGTACCGCATCATCAATGACATCAACACGACAACACGGTATATTCAGATATTCCCCCTCTTTGCGAAAGAAACTTTGGGCCCAAAAATGGGCCGGAGAAGGCCCAACCCATAAAAATCCCCCCCAAAAATATAAAATAATAAAGATATACGCACGCACACAAGCGCAAGGCAAACAAAAAAATCACACGATAAAGAAGAAGAAAAAAAATCAATCTAACCAAAGCAACACCAACAACCCTAGAAATTCCCCCAAATTCATCCCCCTAATCATTCAATTGTTACTACTCAGACGCGAAATCGGAGACAGCGATTCGCCCAACCGAAGAAAAAAGGAAGACGAAGAGGAAGAGATTGACGTCCGTCGATTCTTCGCTCGAACCGCCGCATCTCTTCTGGAAACCCCATATCCCCCGACGACCGCCGCCGTCGTCAACGACCCCCGAGCCCCGGAGTTCGTTTCCTTCCTTAACCTCTTCTTGAACGCCGAGTCCCGAGTTGAAAGTCTCGATTCTCGGCCACCCAGTACTTCACCGGACTTCTCAAACGCATATACTGCTCTTTTTCTTGCTCGTCTCTTTCTCTTTTGGGGTTTTCCATCGCCGATTTGTGTTTGTTTTAATCACTGGATTGGCCGACGGATAGAGGCTCTTGGCGCCGGTTCTGTGCCGTCATCTCGTGTTTTTGCTGCTTCGCGACTTCGTTTTCTTCTCCTTTAGCAAATGTCGGGTTCCGGTGGAGTTACGACGGCCAGAGCCCGCGGGGACGGCCGATTCTATGTCTCCCCAGCCATGCGCAAGCCGCATGAGCAGCTTCAGCAGCAGCAGCAGCAGAGAAGGAGGCATCAGCAGAGTATTCAGCAGCAGCAACAACAGCAACAGCAAAGGCAGCATCAACAGCAGCAACAGCAGCAGAAGCCGGCGAATCCACCGATGAATGGTACTCCGCATGAGATCGAGAAGAGGGTAGACGCCGATCAATGCCGTTCGTCTTCTACTTCCTCCACAGCCTCAAATTCGTCGGTCCCTGGGAGACGGAGTACGGATGGTGTACACACCAATTTGGATCGGTTCTTGGAGTTCACCACTCCCGTGGTTGCTGCGCAAATGCTCCCTAAGGTAGCCCCTAGTTTCTGGTTGGGGACTATCATGGATTCGTTTCATGGATGTGTTTGCTTTTCGTCCTTCTTCACTCTTTGCAGTGCTCTTTAACTTACTGTAATGGAGAATTGGAAAGGTCTTTGCTTCTGGATCTAATCTGGTCTTTGGGCATTTTATTTCTATGGGGTCGAGTTTCTAAAGGGTTTTACTTCGAAAGTCTTCTGTGCTGTTTGATTACTCGTGGTTTTACGTACTGAGCTCATGGTCAATTGAGCAGTACTGGGTTGAGTAATGAATAACAGATTAAACACCATGTGGGTATACCAGAGACTCTTAATGAACTCAAATGGCGAGTTGGTCTTTCTGTGCTTCACTACTTACAGCGCCTGATAGATTCAAGTGTTCTGGTTTTGTAGACTAGCGTTAAAGGATGGAGAAGAGGTGAGGAGCATCACCAACAGCCGTACTTTGTTTTGGGTGATTTGTGGGAGTCTTTGAAGGAGTGGAGTGCATATGGTGTTGGAGTTCCCCTCCTTTTGAATGGCAGTGAAACTGTCATCCAGTATTATGTCCCTTACCTCTCCGGCATTCAGCTGTACAAAGATTCGTCAAAACAATCCACAAGGCGAAGGTGATTACTACTTTTCTGGCTGTTTTTTCAATCTTAAATTTTGAGTTTGTTCAATATGCCTAATGGCTTCTTGGTGATATTTGACTGGTTATTATTGTTTGTGCTGCTTTGAATGCTAGAGTTCTCTCCTTTTGCTGTCTTCTGGTTTCTTGTTCGGGTGTTTGGCGGCTGGTTTCTAATCCTGGTTCTTGTTCTAGTTGGAACAGCAATTTGGTGCTGTGTTATGGGTGTCAGTTCAATGTCAATCTGCATGGTTCAATTGCTTATTACACTAGATAGGATAGCTAGATTCTGGTAACAGTTTTGTAGATTCTGTTGAATGCTTCTTTCAAGGCAATCGTTTGTGCCTTTTTAGTTTGCTCAGACTTTGTGAGGCATGAACTCTGCCACATGCAATGCAATGCAATGCCTTACATTTCAAGATTGCATATCTAGGAATTAAGTTGTAACAGTTTAACGAGTATTGCATTGAAATGCCTGCCACAGCAGTCATTAAACCAGCTTTATGGCAAAAAAAATTTAATTTATTCTGTTTGGATTTATTTTTGTTAGCTCCTCAATTGGATTATTGTAATATATCTTGTATTTTACAGCTTGAACAACCTGTTGTCTTGCTTCTTATTGAGTTTTAAATCCAATTGCCAGTCAGCAAGTATACATGATGTGTCGGTGTGTTCCATCATTTTGCAGGCACGGTGAGGATAGTGATACAGAATCTTCACGGGAAACAAGTAGTGACAGTAGCAGTGATTATGGAGGAGTAAAGCATGGTGCATCGGGGCCACGGAACCAGCAAAATGGCTTTGATTCTAATGTGCCAAACCTAAATGGACTTCCCTTGAGAAGTAAGCCGTCTAGAGCATCATCTAGTGATGAAAGTGAGGTTTCTAATCACCCTGGTCAACTCATCTTTGAGTATATGGAGCATGAATCACCTTTCCATCGCCAGCCATTGGCAGACCAGGTAATATTCTTGTCACCAAGCTTGTGGTAATATACTTTTTTCATACATCATGTCTCTTAACATTTGAAACTTTGTGGCATACAGATTACAGTCCTTGCTACTCAGTTCCCAGAACTCAAAACGTGCAAAAGCTGTGATCTCTCTCCCTCCAGTTGGATGTCTGTGGCCTGGTACCCTATATACAGGATACCTACTGGTCCAACGTTGCAGAATCTGGATGCCTGCTTTTTGACATTCCATTCTCTATCGACACCTTCCGCCTTTCAAGGTAACTTCTATTTCCTCTGGCGCATGTGCTAATAAACAGGTTCATATTCAGTTATTTTTCTGGGGAACAATATGCAAAGAGGAAGAAAATTTGAGGATCGGTATCTGTGGCCTGCCCATGTTTAGTTCAGTTATTTCTGTTTGTGAGGGGTTACAATGGACTTGAAACAATGTGTATTTGTTGAGTTCGAGAATCAAAACTGAAGACAAATTATACCTTGATTGGGTCTTGATTTATTCCAATGCTGATCGATTCATTGCCCACCCAGTCCATTATTAAATCAAACCAAATACTATAGGTCTGGATCAATCGTGACCTAGCTTTCTCTTTTTTCGCCTTGTCCCAGGTCGAAACACAGATGGACTGCCAATTAACGGCACCCGGATGGATGCTCAATCCGCTGACATTTCCAAGCTATCTCTATATAGCTTTGGTCTCGCTTCTTATAAGTTGAAGGTTTCTTTCTGGAACCCAAATGGAGATTACGACCCGAAAGTGAACTCACTTCAGCGTGCTGCTGAAACCTGGCTACGGCTTCTTCAAGTGCATCATCCGGACTACATGTTCTTTGTTTCCCACAGCTCTAGCTGGCGGTGATAGAGGTATCTGTCTGGGTTGGACCATTTTAAGATACCTGGAAGTTTGGAAAAGGTAATTGTGTGGCACCTTTTTAATATCCTGGAAGAGAGACCCATTTCGATCGCACATTGCTCTATGCTTTTGGCTCCAATATTAATGTTGTCGCTTCTTGTTTGAGGGAGGAAGAAAAACTATATATTTCCAAGGTGTTTGTCTCCAGGATTTCTTCTTCTGAAGCTTGAAAAACTCATATGGGTGATGAAAAAGTGTCTGCCTTTGGAATAAAAAGGGGCCATAAAGACCATGTGTAGTTTATAGCTTTGTACACAGGGAATCTCTCATATTTGGAGATTATACATGAGGTGCTGCTTTCCCCTGGATTGATAAGTTTGTGGTCTACCCTGTGGGCAGTCTACTATATATTTGGGAAACCTACAGACTTCTCCTGTTTCTTACATTAAATAAGGTTTGTAGCAGATGATGATGATGATGATGAAGAAGAAGAAGATATGATGGAATTGTGTATATACAGTTGTTTATTACTTAGAACTACACTCAGAGATGAATGAACGGTACATTATGTATGGTGTAGTTGTTTGTATAGATGGTGGGTTTAATAGTGGAGCACCACCCATCTTAATGTATTGGAAACAAGTAGTTTGATTTAGTTATTTCATGGTGTTCTTTCTTCTCTTATTAAGAACTTGTGTTTAAGATTACTTCTGTGGATGCTAGATATGGATTGTGGCTGATTAATTCTGCACAGCGAATTTTTGAAAATGGATGATTCTCAACCTTGTCTTGCTAATATCGCAAAGGCCCTTCAAGCTATTATAGAACACTAGAATCCAAGGTTGTCAACGGGTTGACTCGGATCCGGTCGAGCTAGTGAGTCAAGGGTTATTGGGTCAACCGTTTTAGCCCGGTTTGGCCCAGAAATATGAAAAGAGTCATTATATTGTACTTATCCTTATAAATTATATCAAATCTTATCCAACATATGAGTTATAACATATAATATTACACCAAAATAACATATCGTACTTAGATCTAGCATAAAGTGAAAATTCACACACACTTATATACATCAATATTCAACTTAGGATTTCAAAGATTGAGTTAGGCGAAAAAAAAAATCGGAAAATATGCGCATTTCGCAAACCAAAGAAAACAATGACACAATTTAACCTTCAACCCGATACCTTATAGCGGTCGACCCGGCGGGTGTGTGCGGTCCGTTTTTCTCACCAGGTCAGGGTCAACCTGCGGGTTGACAACCTTGCTAGAATCACATTGTCCACAACATTGTACCTTCAGGTTGTATAGCCCTTTGGCTCGTTCAATGGTGTTTAATAATGTGATTCAGACATGTTCTTATGACATTGTCAAGACTCAAGATCAAGATTGTTTAATTTATCCACAACTGTTGCTTGTTTTTATATCTCTTGGTTCACATTGGTGCAAATCTTGGCTCTGCCCCACATTGCAAAATTATTAAGATTTATATAATCATATAGTTATATGTAGATATATATTATATTACATATATCTGGATTGATGATTACTGTGTCATTGGTACACTAGGTAAGCATGAAATGGACACTTTTGGCCATTTTCCCCTCTCCCCATCTCATTGCACCATTCATTATATATATACTACAAAGACTTGACAGAGTACATCTTTCCATCAGGTAACTCAGTCATAACTCATCTAGGATGGTGGACAGCACCAATCCTCGAACGAACTCACATCGACGAGACCTCTCCTCTTGGTCCTTGTCTGATACCGCTTTTGATGATGGCTCGACCTCCCTGTCAATGTCCAAATGAAATCACCATGAGAGAAGGGTCCGTATTCAAAGGGGACATAATAACGTTGAGTTAGATTTTAAAGGTACTAGTTAGACGTGTATTTTGACCGAGAAGTAGGCCGTTGGATCAACGAGAGGCACAACGAATGGAGTATCCAAAGAAGTGGAAACTTAATACAATGAAAAGCCAAGATGCTATACCTTTCTAGAGATTCCTCGATCATAACCATTGCTGGACTTGTTGCGACATCTGTAGCGGCAGTAGGGGGAATGGACTTAGGCTCATTGAGCCCAGCAGGACTAAACATGAAGGATGAGAGCAGTGGGTCAGGCTCTGTGCTCGAGACGAAGTATGAAGTTCCACCAAGGAGCGACTGAAAGCTTCCATCGCGGAGTTCTTTCCTCAATATCACGAATGGCGAGTTGGATCCACCTTTACGCAACCTTCTTTTGCGCTGCACGTGAGGCTAAGTCAAGGAATCCCATGTACACCGAACAAACAAGAGTGCAGATGGAGTAAAGGTAAATTCGTAGGTTGTCGAGGTATCATTATGTATTTTACTATTGCCCATCTTAGAGTAAAACTAAAATGGAAAGATTAACTAGAGATGGAGATGCTCCAAATTTCATGATGAAAATGCAGAACGTTTATCCTATGTGTATCAGTAGCTGAGCACTTTAAATGCACAAGGAGAACTACTTTCAACAAGCAAAGGATATCTTAAAGAAGTTCTGATGCTGTGTAGTGATGTGGCCGATTATATCCATTCCCACTCTTTTAGCACAGACAGGGCACACCTGAAGCACAACAATTGGAACAACAGAAGCAGCAATGAATCAGTAAGAAGAATTCAACGACAAACCGGCCTCACAACAAAGCGTAACACGAAACAGAGGATCCTTGCATGCACATGCTTATCTCTTTGAATACATAAGCAACAAAATCAGAAGTGAGTGCCTAAGAGACAACTTATCCATTCAGAATCAGAACGAAACGCAATCGCGCCACCCCAAGGAACACCATTCAAACACTTTTTCCTAGCATTCGACTGCAACTAAAGACAGTAATGAAGGAACCGTGGCAGCCAAAATGTATCAACTGAGGAAATGAGAAGGAAATCCCAATCCTAAAAGCATTAGGACTACATTAACAAGCTAGTCCACAAAACGAGGAAGTTGTAAAACATTTTTCACAGTCAGTGACAAACTAAAACGAGAGAGAAGGGGATAATGATGCGAAGTAATGGAGATAGATACCCCATTTTTGGTCTCGACGGGATGCTCCTCGTCCATATGACAACACAGCCCCAAAATATCGAAATCCTCGGCGCAAAACGGGCACAAGAACTCAGCTTTGGAATCATCTTCCATTTCCCCTTCCTCAAATGGATCTACAGTCACAACACCCACCTCGCAAAATCAGCTATGAACCCATTTCCCTGTATGGGAAGGAAAAAAAAAAAAACAATCAAAAGCGTAGATATTCTCCAACTGACCAGGTCGAGATTGGTAGCGGCGAGTAGTGGAGAATCGGGAGCCCCATGTGTCGGAAGCCATTTCGGAAACTAGTTAGAAACTCGGGTTCTTCTCGTCCGATTGCCGTCCCTTCCCTCGATCGAAGCCCAGATGGAAGCTGATCTCCGTTTGATCGGCGGACAGAGGAAAGAAGCGAAATTGCGGAGAATTGGCAGGTGGGTTCGTCGGAATTTGATTCGAGGATTGGGGGGAAGCAAAACCCTAGAGAGAGAGAGTGAGGAAGGAACCGGGAAATGGAGGAGAGAGAAGTTACGTGCGTTCTTTCTTTCTTTCTTCTCCACCAACTCCGCAGCTCGGCTTTCCCACTGGCTCACCTCACAGTACTGTTCGGTTTGGCTCTCCCCTTCTATTTCAGCCAGATAACTTGCCTTTTTCTCTTTCTCGTTTTTTTTTTTCTTCTGAAAAAATGTATTTGCAGAAAAGGACCTCGTTGGCGACCTGACTAGTTACGATAATGGTCCACAATCTTTTATTTTATTACAAATTAAGCAATAAAATTAAAATGAACTGATTTATCATTTCTTATTACTTAAAAAATGTATTATAATTTTCGTTAGAATACAGCACAGATGACAAACACGTCTATGATGTGAATGATGAACATTTATGTTTGAACATGTATCTCATTCAGAATCTACCTTCTTAATCCACTAATTAAGTAAATGATGACCTTGTCAAAAAAAAAAAAAAACTAAGTAAATGATGAACATTTGTGTTTGAACATCATGCACACAGCAGCACATGAACCCACATTCATTTGTTAAAAACCCAACATAACCCAAGTAAATTAGTACAATTACAAAGCCATCAAATTCTACCCAACCACCATATATTTGCATTACATACCCAACCCAATTTGATTGGATAGTAAAATACGTTTAAGTATAGATAAAATTGTCATTCCTAATTACAACTCCTAAGTTCATTGAGTTTTATAGTAAAATACATACGGGTAAAATTGTTTACAACTCGTAAGTTTTGGGACGAGAACAATCTTGTTTCTTTTGGCGTTACAATTTGCGGTGCATATTCATTTCAGGACTTCCTTCCGAGGGCCACACGTTGACATGACTGATTGGAAGTAAGAAAGCGGAACGCAGAACAAGCAACCCAATGGCAGTCACTCGATAAACAATATAGTTTATAAAAATAACATTGTGAATTCAATCATCCAGCTCTCGTAGCTCAGTTGGTTAGAGCACCCGTTTAGTAAGCGGGAGGTCTTGAGTTCGACTCTCAACGAGAGCACCAATTTTAATATTTTGTGATTTTTAATATTACTGGGTATTGGGCTATTGGCCCTTGTGAGTAGTGAGCAAAATATGGGCTTTATCCATCGCTTAGTAAACTTATAATGGGGCCTTTGTCGAACAAAGCCGAGCTGGCCGCATGGGGTGGTGGGTTTTTTTCTTCTTCTTCATCTTGACACATACGCTTGAGCCCATTCCGATCCTCATTAAATAATAAATCTATTGAGGCAGGTGATTCGGGCTAACAAAGATTGAAGGTAGCATTCGGCTGAAGAATTTTACAATGCTATATAGTATTGCCGCTATAAGTTTTTGCCTTTATGGTACAACTTGAAATTGTATATTTAACGTTATGGTACAACTTTAGATTACATCTATACTGTTTGTACAAATTCTTTTATGGTACAATCTAAACTTATACATTTCATGTTATGGTACAACTTTAAGTTGTACATTAAAGCACCAATACTATATAGCATAGTAGAAATGCTCGCCTTCGGCCATCGAAGATCATATCATGTCACCCTCGTACCTTAATTTTATCAGTAGCAAGTTGATATGGTTACTTATTCTTAAATGTATTTTTTGCTTGTTCATTGTAACCCTACTTAAGAGCATTGAAGCATAATTTAATTTTGGAAAAGAAAACACCATGGAAGCAGATGGATAGATAAACTGATGGGGCCTGATAGAAGCCCATCAATGTCTAAGGGGCCAATGATCGTTTGGGCTTCAGATCTGTCAAAAGTCCAGCCAACATGACTAGTGGGCCAGGTAGAGATATAGTTAGAGGTCAAAGGACAGCAACATTTGTGGACTACGGATCGGAAATGATATATTTATTTCTATTTCTATTTTTTTTCCACCGTCCAATCATTGCCAAATTCCATCCCAAGAAAGGGTATTTAACTAGCTAGGTGCACTGAATTTGTTGCCCACAAAACCTAAAAAATGGTTCACTGAATTTGCCCTTCATAAAAATTAAAAAAGCTTAATTCCACCATTCAAGCCAGCAAACCTTCGTTAACTTGTGTCTTCTGCATGATTGATCAAATTGTAAATGTCGCCAAATGTTAGACCGATAAACTAATTAGGTAGAACCGTAGAGCTAATGTGTATGAATAATTGTTACTATTAGGTTGAAGAAAAAGAAATAGACAACGAGTGTCACTAATTAGGTAGAACCGTAGAGCCAAATGTCGCCAATGTTTGTCACTTTCTTTCTATTTTGTTCGGATATGGGATTCGGATGTGTAATACCGAATTTTTGCTAGTTAGTATCTTGAACTAGCTAGTCGATCTCGATATTTAAGTTTGTTGGGCAAGGTTTAAGAATACTTTTTTTATATATCGTTCACTCGTTTGTTCCTCCCATAATTTGAAAATTTGCTCAAGTCTACTATACCATCGTACTGAACATTAATATTCAAGACTACTTTTCAATCGAGGACTCTAATGTCATATAAAAAATCAGTTGTTCTCTCAACAATTGGAGTTGTTGGAAGATATTTTGAATTTTTATATCGCAAAAATTGTGCCTACACCCATGATCGGATTTCAGGTATCCATGATTATTGGAAGATAATAATTTTTTCCACTTCATCATCTCAACTAATGTGGTACCAATTACAAATGTATTTATATTATACTAAGAAAAAAGTTCAACTATGGTAACAATACTAAGAGAAATAATAAAAAGAATACTAATGCATGGAGACATTATATAAGCACCACCAACAAATAACATAAGAGAAAGAAAAAAGATTATATAAAAGAAAGTAAGTATATACGCTTGTTTTTTTTTTAATTCGAGTAATATTAAGAGAAAACAAGAGTTATACAAACAAAACTACTCAGGAATCCCTTACAATCAAAACCCTAATGCACCCACCCAAGAAGATAGAAAGACTGTAACTCTAGGGAAACAAAAGCAGTGCTTTAAGTGCCACTCCATGGGCAGCACTATTGGTGGCCCTAACAACCGTATTAAACTCTATATAAAGTGACAAAGAGTCTAAAATCTGACAATACTCCCGGATAATCGAACCTTCAACAAAATCTTCTAGTACAACATGTCGGATCTGGTTGGCGACCACCTCGGAGTCACCTTCCACCAGGTAAGAAAATCAAATCGACTAAGGAGATAGCATCTCTCACTGCTAGGAGTTCTGCCAGGTAAGGGTTGACTACTCCTTGGTGACGCAGACCATATGTCACCACCACATGTCCGTCTGAGCCACGGACAACAAAACCATATGAGCACCATGAGTCGCAAACAGTTGCATCGAAATTGATCTTCAAAAAAATCGACTGATGGAGGCGTCCAAGCCGGTGGAGGAAATGAGATGATTGACATGGGGTGGAGGAGGGGGGTGCATTGTGCGAGTTCAAATTAGATAGTAAGAAAATAATTTTTTATATTATTATTTAAGTTCAAGCTCTATTTTACCCATGAACAATTTATTTAATTCAATATTGTATCTATCTAATCGGATCGAATTCCAATAATGGACATCGATGATCGTGAATATGTTTGATCCATTGTTGATAGGTGTTGAAAGATGAGATATGCCAAAGTAGTCAGCTTCATTTTCGTTCCTATTTTGGTTTTGTTTTGTGTTCAAACCTCCCACTTAGGTAATTGTTGGATACGGTTCAAGATATGATGCATAACTTTAGGGTGCATAACTATGAGTAACCTAATCTGAACTCTTCTTTTAATTGGTTGCAGATTTAAGGGTGGAGAATTAAAGAAATTTATTTTCCCTAGTTTTCTTGATTAGATCATATTTTCTTCATTCTAACTCGAATTTCAATTTTTTTGAACAGATGGAAAGAGTTCGTTGTGCTCTACAAAATGATATACATTTTCAATATTTTTTGAGAATTTTTTTTCCATACCTCTCATTACCAACACCATACCATATGGTATCTCCTTCGTTTTTAGTCGTTTTCGGAAATTTTTGCTCAGAAGAAACGATTTAATCATGATCTATTGGATTTTAAAAATTCATGGGTGAAAAAATTTCATACCTCTCGTTACCAACTCCATACCAATATACCACCCTGGTATGAGGTGGTATTTTTCATACCATATGACATGCTCTTATTTAATACCAGTCAATAACATATGGTACAGTTAATACCAAATGGTATAGACTGGTGATAATTGGCAAATTTTTTTGTTCCAAAAATATCAAAGTGGATATTATTTTGAAGAGCACAATTAATTTGATCTAACTGTGCAAAAAAATTTAAATTCCGACTTAAAACGAGTGAGAAATCATCCTTTAAAGATTAAGAGAAAGAAAATTAAAACTTTTTTCAAGGAGAGAGAAGGAGGCGCTGATGTGGCGGATTCTTATTGGGTTATGCATGAGTTTATTGCACCACAAGATTACTAACTGGATCTGCTCCCGTTGGATACAAACCATTGGATGTTGGTCCCTGATTAAACAAAAAAAAACCCTAGAAATTCACGTGCGGATTATGTAACACCCTACCCTATACGTTTTGCCTAATCATATTGTTCATACAATTGCAGCGGAATTAATCTCGGGTGTTACATTAATTATCAAATTTTACCTAAATAAAATTTCGACATGAATTACTCGCGTAATGGGCTAACAGTTCTTGCAACTGAACCTGCAAAATAATTCATCACAAACATATATACTCACAACCATATGCATTGGCTTTTCTTAGCCATAGTCACACTTTTCATACTTCCTAACTGCATACCATACTTATACATACCATAATCGTCACAACTTACACAGTTACACAACATATACACATATCATTAACTTTCCACACCTGTGGATATCTCACACTACATTCGAAGCTAGTATGCACATGAAAATGTTCTCAAAACATTTTTACAAAAAGGTGTGGATCACTGGCCAAAATCCCAAGTAGTAGTCCAAGCACAGAATAGTTGAAGACCATACCTCATCCTGGCTTCAACTCTAGCTCCTCTCCCACCTAACACTTATCTACTGCTGCTGCTGATGATCTGCTTACACATAGCATAAGCAGAGAAGAAGAATAAAAGAGGGTCAGCTCATAGCTGAGTGAGATAATCATAGCATCGTGAGTTCATAACAGAGCATACCCCTATCATACATCTAACAATCAAGCCAAAACACTAGGATCGGACCTCAGCCATCCTCATATCCCAATAGGCAAAAGACTCAACCACTTTGACTTATGCATATGCATCTTATCATGTTTTAATCATAGGCGCCTGGCTACTCCCATGCTAATAACTCTCCCGGGAAACATACCCCACATCCCGTCGGATGTAGTCATACATACCCCAACATCCCGTCGGATGTGGTCATACATACCCCACACCACTATGGGTGTAGTCATACCCCGACACCGCTCTGGGTGTGGTCATATCTCATAAGAATTCTTCAGTCACCACCAAATGAGAGGTGTGACTATCATACATATCATAGTAGAGTAATAGCATAGGGAGCCCTAATTACTATGTAGTTGACCGTGAGACCACCACACTCATTATTGGTATCCTTATACATGATTCATATCTCATCTTGCTTAATCATAATTCATTACTTGCACATGTACTTGACCTGGCCACAATTGGCTCAACATAGGTAAATCAGGAGTCGTATAATTGCATTTCCTCGGGATAAACCCTCGTGCAAGTCATCCTCCTTAAACATCATAATATCACCCTGGGAAGTTTATTTTCCCCACTTGTGAATCCAAAAACAACCACAATATCACATCATGTCAAAAACCCTTATCGAACAACCATAAAGTCATATCAACAGTTAAGCCACAAATGGCAACATGTAGGCAATCATCCACATAAACAAGGTTCATATCGATTAGGGCAAGTCAATAATATCATACAGTAGTCCAGGGTTCATCATATAGCACAAAAGTCCATACACCCCTAATCATGCCATTCTAGTTCACCTAGGTCAATTCTAAGCATCAATATAATTATCGTGATACGACAAACCCGGTATGCCGTGCTAATCCCTCACCAGTTCTGGTCGTTCAAACACCGGTTCTAGCCTCCCGTACTAAAACGTCAATTTCACGAACGAACCCCGAATTAAAATCCGAGACCGTCCTAATATCCCCTGCAGTATCCCCGTCAATATTAGTTCTAGGCTCCGGGTCAAATTCTTGATAAAAACACATCAAACCCTGGCCGGAGCTAAATTCAGCGGTTTGGACCCCGGCCTAAATAATAGCCGAAAATCAGGAATTAGAACTAGGGGATTGATTACCTCGCTGCAGGAAGCTCGTATATGAAATTTGGGCTCAATCCGGCTTCCGGATACTCCAAAACCCTAATCTGGCAGATCGGGAATTCAAGAAATTCCTGAACCAAAAACTCGTTTTAAAGCTCTAAATCGATAAATCACGATGAATAGATGAATTAGGCATTACTTACGGGATTTTTGGATCACTAGGGCTCAAGAATTTGAGCCGGAGAATTTTTCCCCCGAACGCTCTGTTTCTCTACTTCTCTCGCGGAAACTAAAAAGAAGAAGATGATATGGTTTCTGGAGAGTTTGTCTGGGAAGGGAATTAAATTCGAAATGCTCGATTTTAAATCGCGAACTTTCTAGCGATCGAAATATGGGTTTTGCCGGAACGGGATGTTACAACTCTTCCCTCCTTAAAAGATTTCGTCCCCGAAATCTAACCTTGAGTCAAACTCTAACTCCTCTTACTTACCCTTAACTTGGTCTATCACACATAAAGTCATTACCTAACTCTTAGGTCAGGCAATTCATAACATAGAAGGTAACACATAACACCTCAAGTTCCCATGTTTAGGTTTCAAAAACCTATACTGGGCTATCACAACAAAAACACGTCAGCAAGTTCAAAACATAACTTACTAAGCAAGATTGTTAACCTGTAAAGTAGGTTGCTACTAACTCAGGGTACTTCTCCCGCATACTTGCTTCAGTTTCCCATGTAGCACTCTCACTTTCTTGATTCCTCCACATAACCTTCAACATTGGAATTTCCTTCCTACGAAGATTCTTAATCTGAAAATCAACAATCTCAACTGGAACCTCTTCAAATGTCAAATCTGAACCCAACTCGATCTCTTCTGGTTGTATAACATGGGAAGGATCCACTTTGTACTTCTTCAGCATACTCACATGAAATACATTGTGGATTTGAGATAGTTCTGGAGGCAATGCCAACTTATAAGCCACTGGTCCAATCTTCTCTGTGATTTCATAGGGACCAATATACCGAGGTGCAAGCTTTCCTTTCTTACCAAATCTCATCACCCCTTTCCATGGTGACACTTTGAGAAATACTTTCTCACCCACTTCGAAATTAACTTCACGCCTATTCGTGTCAACATAAACTTTATGTCGATCTTGAGCCACCCTCAACCGCTCCCTGATTTCCTTGACCTTGTCAACTGTGATCTGAACTATCTCTGGCCCTGAGATTTGCCTTGCTCCTTCTACATCCCAACATAATGGTGTCCTGCATTTCCTCCCATAAAGTGCTTCATATGGTGAAATACCCAAACTACTATGGTACTGATTGTTGTAAGCAAACTCAATCAAGGGCAAATGGTCAATCCATGATTCCTCCCATTGCATTACACATGATCGAAGTAATTCCTCCAAAGTTAGGATGGTTCGTTCACTCTGTCCATCTGTTTGAGGATGATAAGCTGAAGTAAAATGCAGTTTAGTTCCCAAGGCATCATGTAAACTTTGCCAAAACCGAGATGTGAAGCTCGGGTCTCGATCAGAGACAATAGAAATTGGCACACCATGCAATCTGACGATCTCCTTAATATATAGTTGAGACAAAGTCTCCAGTGATGGTTTCCATCTAATGGGTAAAAAGTGAGCCGATTTGGTCAGTCGGTCCACAATAACCCATACTGCATCCTTTCCCCTTGATGGTGGGAGACCATATACAAAATCCATTGTGATTCTTTCCCACTTCCATTCTGGAATTGGAAGTGGTTGCAGTTTTCCCACGGGAGCTTGATGTTTTGCCTTAACTTTCTGACATACTAGACATGTGAAAACATGTTCAGCCGCTTCCTTTTTCATCCCACGCCACCAAAAATATGGTTTGATCGTGTGATACATTTTAGTTGCTCCTGGGTGCATAGCATAAGCAGAAGAATGAGCTTCATCTAGGATCTCTTTCCTCAAGTTATCAACATTAGGAACACATGCTCTTCCATTAATCTTCAACATGCCATCTACCATTTCAAATGGGCTTTCTTTTCCTTCCTCAATGTCTTGAATGATTTTTGCCAACTCTGGGTCCTCCTTCTGCTTCTCACGAATTTTGTCGTGCAACAAAGGTCGAATGTTCAACCGAGCTAGTAACCCTGTTACACCATCCACTTCCAAATCAACATTCATTGCCCTCAAATCAACCAGATCATTTATATTCTTCTTCCCCTTTCTGCTCAGAGCATCAGCAACTACATTAGCTTTACCTGGATGGTAATCAATGGTACAATCATAATCTTTCAACAACTCTATCCATCTCCTCTGGCGACTATTTAAATCCTTCTGATCCATAATATACTTCAAGCTTTTGTGATCAGTTAGAATTTTAAAAGTCTCACCATACAAATAATGTCGCCAAATCTTGAGAGCAAATACCACCGCTGCCAATTCTAAGTCATGAGTTGGATAATTTACTTCATGAGGACGCAATTGCCTAGAGGCATATGCGATAACTCTTCCATCTTGCATTAACACACAGCCCAATCCTTGATACGAGGCATCACTATACACCACAAACTCTCCCTGACTTGAAGGTAGTGCAAGTACTGGTGCTGTGGTCAATCTCTTTTTCAGTTCATCAAAACTCTTTTGACATGATTCATCCCAAACATACTTAGTATTCTTCCTCAACAGTTTAGTCAATGGTGCAGCAATTTTAGAAAATCCTTCGACAAACCGCCGATAATAACCTGCCATGCCAAGAAAACTTCTCAACTCCGACACATCTTTTGGTGGAGTCCAACTCACCACTGCTTCCACCTTTTTCGGATCCACCTCGACACCTCTTCCAGAAATTACATGTCCCAGAAATATTACCTCCTTCAGCCAAAACTCACATTTTGAGAATTTTGCATATAATTGTTTCTCCCTTAGAATTTGCAACACAATTCTAAGGTGAGTTTTGTGCTCCTCCTCGCTTTTAGAATAGATGAGAATATCATCTATGAACACAATCACAAACTTATCAAGATATTCATGGAAAACTCTGTTCATAAGAGCCATAAATACCGCTGGTGCATTAGTGAGTCCAAAAGGCATTACCAGGAACTCATAATGCCCATATCTTGTTCTAAAAGCTGTCTTTGAGGTTGCTCCATCTGCCACTTTCAATTGATGGTATCCAGATCTCAAATCAATCTTAGAAAAGACTGATGCACCCTGCAATTGATCAAACAAATCATCTATTCTTGGAAGGGGATAACGATTCTTCACTGTCGCCTTATTCAACCTCCGGTAGTCAATGCACATTCTCATGGAACCATCTTTCTTCTTGACAAACAAAACCGGTGCACCCCAAGGTGAGATGCTAGGTCGAATAAACCCCTTGTCTAACAATTCTTGCAATTGTTCTTTAAGCTCCTTCAGCTCAATTGGTGCCATTCTATATGGTGCCATTGAAATTGGTGTTGTGCCAGGTACCAATTCAATATCAAACTCTACTTCCCTTTCTGGTGGAAGGCCGGGAAGTTCTTCAGGGAATACATCAGGAAATTCCCTTACCACCTCTACATCCTCAACCTTCTTATCATTTACTACAGTAACTTGAGCAAGAAAGGCTTCACAACCTTCCTTCACTAACCGAAAAGCTTCCAAGGCAGAAAGAAAACCATGAGTCTCCTTTTTCTTAATGCCTCGGAATACAACAGGACCTTTATCTGGTGTGCTGAATAACACTTCTTTCTTTTGACAATCCACAACAGCTCCATGTGTTGCCAGAAAGTCCATTCCAAGGATGACATCAAATTCATCAAAAGGTAGCAGAATTAAATCTGCTGCTAGGAAAGCTCCTTCCACACAAATGAAGGAACTTCTAATAACTGAGTCTACCTTCAAGGTATCTCCCACAGGTGTTTTAACACATAAGGTATAACCTAGCTTATCTGGAACTAAGCGTAGCATATGTGCAAACGTATATGACATGAATGAGTGAGAGGAACCAGTATCGATCAAAGCATATAATTGCTTGCCAAGGATAGAAAGCATACCAGTCACAACTTCTGGTGCCACTTCTGCCTCACCTCGAGTCATTGCATAAACCCTCGGTGCTCCCTGTGCTCTGGTACCCTGCGTACCACTTCCTGATGGTTGATTTCGACCACCACTTCTACCACCCTGTGAACCACCACGACCACTCTGAAATCCACTACGGCCTCCCTGGTAACCACCCCTGAATGGGGCTCTACTAAATTGCACTGAAGGCTTGGACTGTGTAGCTCTTACTTCTCTCGAATGCGGGCAATCCCTCATGATGTGCCCAGGTTGGCCACAGTGAAAGCATACACCAGAAAATCTCCTACACTCTCCAGGATGCCTCTTCTGACAAACTTGACAAAATGGAAATTGTGTGGCTGAGGAAATTGGTGCCCTGTATGATGTTCCTGACATAGATTGACTCTGTGTTCTCCCAAAATTGCTAGGACCTCTCCTGGGTGGGTAACGAGGTCCAGCATAATTTACTCCAAACTTCCTCTTCTTCTCCTCTTCTTTAGCCTTGTGTTCCTCTCGGCTCTCAACTTCATAGGCTTCATACTTAAGTGCAGCCTCCTTAATTGTGGCCATGCTCTCTTCATCAACCCTGTGGATCTTTTCTTTCAATCCTATGCGCAGACCATGCAAGTATCTCATCTTCTTCTTTTGCTCAGTATCCGCCAACCCATCCTCAAAGTAAAGCAGTCGAACAAACTTGATGGTGTACTCAGTAACTGTCATATTCTCCTGCTTAAGGTTGGCAAATTCATTGTTCTTTGCCCTGATAAAAGCTTCGGGAAGAAACTCTGTCTTAAAGGCCTTCAGGAACTCCTCCCAGGTGAACTGAACTCGTTCACCATTAACTCTAGAGACTGAGGACCACCAGCTCCTCGCATACCCCTTTAGGAGAAAAACAACATATTGCACTTTTTCCTCTGGGGTTGCATAAAGATATTCAAACACATCTTCCATCTCTCTCAACCACTCTACTACAGCATCTGGGCTCACATCTCCCTTAAAGTCCCTACCACCCAAACTCTTCATCTTTGCATAATCTAATACTGGCGGTCTTGCATCAACCGCCCCCACCCCTCTCGACTGGTCAGTAGGAACATTTTCACAACTTCCGTGGGAACTACAAGGAAATATTGGCCTTAGATTGATCCACACAAAATTCATTCTTCACCAAATCTCTCACTTGGTTAAAACAAAATTTTTCCAAACTAATTACTTGAAAACAAATAAGTTCAAAACTCAATTTTTGAAAACCATGATGCAGGTAATTTCATCCAATATACCAATACACATAATCATATCAAATTCAATTCCCAGTTTAAGTCATTATGGGGTACTCCCCTCCTTAGGAGTGTTTAGCCTCCCATAGGGTATAGTACGCCATAACAGCAAAAAGAGGGAACCGGGCTCTGATACCAAACTGTAACACCCTACCCTATACGTTTTGCCTAATCATATTGTTCATACAATTGCAGCGGAATTAATCTCGGGTGTTACATTAATTATCAAATTTTACCTAAATAAAATTCCGACATGAATTACTCGCGTAATGGGCTAACAGTTCTTGCAACTGAACCTGCAAAATAATTCATCACAAACATATATACTCACAACCATATGCATTGGCTTTTCTTAGCCATAGTCACACTTTTCATACTTCCTAACTGCATACCATACTTATACATACCATAATCGTCACAACTTACACAGTTACACAACATATACACATATCATTAACTTTCCACACCTGTGGATATCTCACACTACATTCGAAGCTAGTATGCACATGAAAATGTTCTCAAAACATTTTTACAAAAAGGTGTGGATCACTGGCCAAAATCCCAAGTAGTAGTCCAAGCACAGAATAGTTGAAGACCATACCTCATCCTGGCTTCAACTCTAGCTCCTCTCCCACCTAACACTTATCTACTGCTGCTGCTGATGATCTGCTTACACATAGCATAAGCAGAGAAGAAGAATAAAAGAGGGTCAGCTCATAGCTGAGTGAGATAATCATAGCATCGTGAGTTCATAACAGAGCATACCCCTATCATACATCTAACAATCAAGCCAAAACACTAGGATCGGACCTCAGCCATCCTCATATCCCAATAGGCAAAAGACTCAACCACTTTGACTTATGCATATGCATCTTATCATGTTTTAATCATAGGCGCCTGGCTACTCCCATGCTAATAACTCTCCCGGGAAACATACCCCACATCCCGTCGGATGTAGTCATACATACCCCAACATCCCGTCGGATGTGGTCATACATACCCCACACCACTATGGGTGTAGTCATACCCCGACACCGCTCTGGGTGTGGTCATATCTCATAAGAATTCTTCAGTCACCACCAAATGAGAGGTGTGACTATCATACATATCATAGTAGAGTAATAGCATAGGGAGCCCTAATTACTATGTAGTTGACCGTGAGACCACCACACTCATTATTGGTATCCTTATACATGATTCATATCTCATCTTGCTTAATCATAATTCATTACTTGCACATGTACTTGACCTGGCCACAATTGGCTCAACATAGGTAAATCAGGAGTCGTATAATTGCATTTCCTCGGGATAAACCCTCGTGCAAGTCATCCTCCTTAAACATCATAATATCACCCTGGGAAGTTTATTTTCCCCACTTGTGAATCCAAAAACAACCACAATATCACATCATGTCAAAAACCCTTATCGAACAACCATAAAGTCATATCAACAGTTAAGCCACAAATGGCAACATGTAGGCAATCATCCACATAAACAAGGTTCATATCGATTAGGGCAAGTCAATAATATCATACAGTAGTCCAGGGTTCATCATATAGCACAAAAGTCCATACACCCCTAATCATGCCATTCTAGTTCACCTAGGTCAATTCTAAGCATCAATATAATTATCGTGATACGACAAACCCGGTATGCCGTGCTAATCCCTCACCAGTTCTGGTCGTTCAAACACCGGTTCTAGCCTCCCGTACTAAAACGTCAATTTCACGAACGAACCCCGAATTAAAATCCGAGACCGTCCTAATATCCCCTGCAGTATCCCCGTCAATATTAGTTCTAGGCTCCGGGTCAAATTCTTGATAAAAACACATCAAACCCTGGCCGGAGCTAAATTCAGCGGTTTGGACCCCGGCCTAAATAATAGCCGAAAATCAGGAATTAGAACTAGGGGATTGATTACCTCGCTGCAGGAAGCTCGTATATGAAATTTGGGCTCAATCCGGCTTCCGGATACTCCAAAACCCTAATCTGGCAGATCGGGAATTCAAGAAATTCCTGAACCAAAAACTCGTTTTAAAGCTCTAAATCGATAAATCACGATGAATAGATGAATTAGGCATTACTTACGGGATTTTTGGATCACTAGGGCTCAAGAATTTGAGCCGGAGAATTTTTCCCCCGAACGCTCTGTTTCTCTACTTCTCTCGCGGAAACTAAAAAGAAGAAGATGATATGGTTTCTGGAGAGTTTGTCTGGGAAGGGAATTAAATTCGAAATGCTCGATTTTAAATCGCGAACTTTCTAGCGATCGAAATATGGGTTTTGCCGGAACGGGATGTTACAGATTATTCATCCCTCCTATTAGTATTACCCCATTCCCTAGGAGCCCTTTTATTATGCTATAAAGTATTGGTGTTTTAATGTACAATTTGAAGTTGTACCATAACATTAAATGTATAAGTTCAAGTTGTACCATAAAGGAATTTGTACCCTTACAAGTTGAAGTTGTACCATCACATAAAGGCACAAGTTCAAGTTGTACCATAAAGAATATGTACAAAACAGTGTAGGTATAATCTAAATCTGTACCATAACATTGAATGTACAATTTCAAGTTGTACCATAAAGGTAAAAACCTATAGCACCAATACTATAGAGTATTGTAAAATTCCTCATTCCCTAGTTAATTTGATCTATATGGTTTTTGTTAATTGGAGGCCACAATCCTAAACCGATGGGCTGATATCCAAATCGAAACTTTAAGACAAAATCGTATGAATAGTTGTATTGACTGGAGCATTCATTCAGAGCGTCCTGGCATGAATAGTTGTAGTGAGGCTTGTCATAATCGACAAGGATAAGCTAATTCACCCGTCATTCCGTTTGCTAGGTCGGAGGCTGGAATCTCTTAAAAGCCGCCACCTTCGAAGCGGGTCACTCTCAATTCAGATGGTACCGTCTTACCAGATCCAAGCGTCCGCATTACAAGAATCCTGATTCGAGATCATACGGGGGCCTATCTGGAAGCATTCTCTTTGGTCTTTCACTCGAACATAATTGAAACGCACGGTGTGGAAGTCCTCCATTGAGTGAGCCAATCGGCCATCGATCGATTTGCTTTGAGCTTGACTCACAATGCACAATTGCGCTCCTTATGAATGCGGCATATCTTATCATCAACATGCAACAATTATTTAGAGGTTCAAGAAGTTGTTGGTATGAAATTGGGATGTTTCTGTTTCTCGTATGTATAGAGATGATAATAACTAATAAGTGTGGTGACTATCTAACTAGTCAATAGCATTTGTTTTGCCTTTTTTTTTTTTATATGATTTTCATGTTTTTATCCTATATATTTTTTAAATGGATTTAAGACGATTGTCAGATGCTCTTCAAGTTTTGATTGGTTTTGAATGAAGGTCGAGATGTGCACCATCCATTTATATATAATAAAAAAAAGATAGTTGAGATAAAGCCCAACGTATATTAATTTAGTGCATAAACTTACTAGTAAAAGTTTGCTATTGTATTTGTTAAGAAAATAACCTGAAATTTGAAGTGCTTCATACTTCCATCTTTGTATATATTTGTACTTTTCATTCTGAGTGTTGTCGCACCATCACGATATATCTGGCTTTCGTCCACGATAATCAGAAAGAGTTAAACATGAGATCCGAATTGAATATCATCAAGTTACGTCTTAATTATTTGATCCAATCTACTATTGGCTTTAATGTATGTACGTAAAATGTGACTGTGTAAAGAAGTAGTTAAGTATCATGGATGAGCGTTTTTCAACAACTCGAATTATTCAGACCAGTTGGTTCATGACATGGTATCAGAGTCTGATTTGTCCTTGAGTTCACGTGTTCAAATTCTCACGACTCTCAATATTAACCATTGTCTTAAACATGTGGTATGGTGGGTCTGTGCAAACTTCAAACCCATAAGTCGACTTTCGTTTGAGGGGGCGTGTAAAAAAATGGTTAAGTATCATATATGGACCTCTTCCAACCATTTGAATTATTGAGACCAGTTGGTTTATAACATATTGGAGTTCTTCAATAAAAGAGACCCACAAATTGACACGATTTCCAACTTTAGTGGTACCCTCTCGTTGTACGTTGGGGTGACTAAGTTGAATCAAGTTGATGCAGGGAGGAAAGGAAGGACAACCAAGTTGAGTGGAACCCATTTGGGACAGCAAGCCTGGCACTTCGTACTACCAATCTTCCCCCCTTGCCCTAATCCTTTCCTTTTTTCTTTCTTTTTTCTGATATGATCTTATGCGAAGTAGTGGTTACTATGATTTGAACACAAATTATCTGTCGCTAAGTCTCGTTGCTTGGTTAGTGAGTCGAGATTCAGGAGCGAAGCGTTCGGTTCAAGGTTCGAGGGCAATGCTCCCAAATTATGTTGTATGGGCTTATACATGGTTTTTGTTTGTTTCGAGCCTGGTGTATGAAATTTTCTTTTCCATATTGGATTAGATTAGACCGTCTGTAAAAGGTACTATATATACCTTATCAATCTCTCTAATTTATATCTCTTCAAGCATTATTGATTTGTCGAACCGTTGTAATAAAAACTTTTCCACATTGAATCGTAGTACTCTATCTGGCCTTCCACCGCCCTCACCTCACGTCGCCGGAGGTTGTCAAACCGGTTTAAGTTATTGAACCGATCAAGCAAGGGGTTTGAGGTTTATTGGTTTGATCGGGGTCCAACCGGTTTGAGTCGTTTCATATATTTTCTAAATATATATACATATAAGATATTAATTAAAAAATTAATGACTGAAATAAAATTTATCTTATATGTATCTATTAAAAATTTATTTCCGACACAATAAAACCTACTTAACCTCGATGACCTACCCACCATCTCATTTTCTTCTCCCCCTCCTCCCTTTCCTCTCTCTTCTTCTCCTTCTTTAGGGGTAAGATCGGATGGCTTTTTGGAAGCCATTTTGAAGCCAATTTAGATCGAACCGGGACCAATCGGGTACACAGTAAAAGTTTAACAACCTTGCGTCGCCCTCAAGTGCCACAACTATATCTTATAACACTCTGTCACCTTGCTTACCAGTTCCGTGTTCCAGACTTCCAGAGTTCCAGTTCAGATAGTTAATTGTCATGCGGGAAGAAAATATGTTTCGGGCATTTGATCGCTTGATATGGTATCCTAGGAAATGGGTAAGGTCAAGGTCTGTGGATGGGCAGCCAATAAACAAATTGATTCATGAAGGTTGTTAGATCATTTTTCGTGATTACTTAAAAGTTTGCCTGATTAGGATTTTCAGTTTGAAAATAAGATTTACAAGCGATAATGCTTATGTGATATGGTTGGTGCAAATATCACTGTATCTCTAAAATTTTAGATATTATATATAATTTTAATATCACATGAAAGAACTTTATGTACAGATGTACTCTTATATTCAAGTATCCAACACAATAATTTGTAATATTGACACCTTTACTCATAGAGTACAAGATTTTTGTCACAAAATAAGGACGATGACACCGTTCATGTTGTACGTGATCTCCAATAATAAAACATTGATCGCCATCAAGCGTGGTCCGTATTTCAACTCCTATTGTTCTTATCACTACGAGAGAGAAAAAATATAATCATAATTATCAGATTTTACCTTCACTTAAAAAGGGAGGAAAATGTCATCATCATAAAAGAAGCAAGGAAGGTCAGTTGGCAAAAGCTGTACTAGGTATTATCATTGTTTGTGAAATCATATCGTACTGACGGTTTCGGCCATTAAAATTACCTACTGATAGGCGCTTTTTAGTAATATGAAACGGTTGAATCATGATTGAACCACAATTTTCAATACAAAATACTCTATTGATAGCTTTTTCTGGTACAAGCTCCGTTGCGGTTTCAGAGTCATTGGATATTACCCTTAATCCACTACACATCTAGCTGATGTACATTTTCTATAGTGACAATGAGCCTAATTACACTCCCAAGTCCCAACTTCAACTTGGAGTATGAATGAAGTATACAAATCAAACAAGAGTTAATTATACATACCTACCTAGTGTCTGTCTCTCCACGACAGCACCACTTACTTCCCATCTCTCTGTCCAACTCATTCCAGTAACGAGTTATTATAACAAACATGGTGCTGATTCATTGGCACCCTGCAATTATTCATGATTTCCCTTTTCATTTTTTCTCTCTCTCATTCTCATATGATCATCGTTGAAGTATAATATTATCTTAATTTCTTACAAAAAATGAAAAATATGGAGTCATGCATAGACGAGAACATGCATGCTTCCTATCTCCCACCAACAGCATATTATTAATTATGAATATTTATAAATTAGCACAGGGCAGGGCCGTTGGCCGAAAGAATTTTGTCAAGAATATGATATATAATAGATTATTTGAAATGTATAAAATGATTGTGTTCTACCTTAGTTATGCACATAACATATTTGAAAGTGATCCAATTATGCATAATGTGTTTAGACCTTCTTGAAAAAAGAAAAAATATAATATAAGTATTACTTATAATTATTGAATAAAAAAGAAATAAATATAACTAATTGTCATTCATTACTTAATTAAATCTATAGTTGAATATTAGAGTTGTTTCTCATAATACATACATAATCAACCTTTAAGATAAAAGAAAATATTTTTCATAGAGTTTAGTATGTCCTTTGAGTTTTTCCCAAAAAAGAGCATTCTTTTTTACCACACCGTTGGTAATGAATCTGAAGTTGCTTGATTTGAAATATATAAGACATGATGCTAAATTATCGCTAATATTTAGTTGGACAATGTGTTGTGTATGAACTTCCCAAATTATTCTCAGATCGCAGACATGTCTAGCAACAATGTAATAATTTTCACGCAACAAATATTTTTTTTTTCATGAAATAATTCAATACATAAAAACTTATGAAAATCATATTACATGAAATATATGTTACTCATTAAGTTGATGAATGAGCGAGGGTATAAGTAACATACATTTATTTTAAAAATATAGAAGTTGCAAAGTGTCTTTTGGGTTGAATGAGATCGCATATTCTCATTATCGCTAACTGCCTTATGCTTTTTTGCAATAGATAATTCAAAATGTGCCTTAAAACTTTTGTTACCACGTAAAAGAATTGTTTGAACCAAATGATTAATAGTATAAAAAATTTTGGTAGTAGAGTATTTTATACTGAAATCACAATTTAACTGTGGTTCAATCGTTTCATATTGCTAAATATCATGTATCGATTTAGCCTATGGCGTGGAGTTTTATGGGCGAACCGCCAATACGTATGATATTTCAATCCAAATTTTAAATAAAAAACCACTAAAATATTGACATTATCAAATACCTTTAAATCTCAAAAATTACCATAATTGTATTAAGAAAAAAATCATCCAAATTATAATATTGATTTAGGATTTTAAGGGGTCGTTTGGAAGTTGAAATTGTTAAATAAATGTTTTGTTGTGAATGCATGCATAATATTATATATGTATTGTCGGATTAGATGCATTGTGTATGTCACATAAGCTAAAAGCTAAGACAAAACAATATCGACAATCACAACTAAGAGTTGAGATATAACAATCACTCATTTTGAGTGATAGTTTCTATCACATCACATATATAATTCATGTATTGTTTCTACTAAAAAAAATAAAAAAAATGATGCATTCTAAACAATACATGTATAGTAGCAATCTCAACAAAACAATCGCAACTTTCAAACGACCCCTTAATTGAAATGGAAAAAATTTATCAAATATAATGTCATCTCCTAAAATAAATCAAAACTCAACAGGGCAAAGAATACCCGCTAAGCAAACCAGAAGGACAATTATTTCACACTACTTCATTTCCCCCCTTTTTAAATGTGTCTTCTCACTCTCTCTTATGCCCCGTTCACTTGCCATTTTGTTTTCTGTTTTCTGGTGTGACAACAACAACAAAAAAATGGTAAGAAATGTGTTCACTTGCAATTTCATTATCGTTGGAAAAAACCATGGGGAATGAAAGAGGGAGCTGAGTGGAAACAATAAAAGATCGTATGCTGGAAAATGAGGGACGGATTCCCCCTGTTGCCCAACGGGTTAAACCCCCCCCCCCCCCCCCTTCCTTTTAATGAGCCCAGCGTTAGAATCCCTTGGGAACTTTTCCCCCCTTTTGTTCACTTAGACCAACGTTGTCATTTTGCTAACCCCA